CCCGCTTGTATTAAATACACAGATCATCAAGCAATATTTTTAAAATTACAACAACCATCAAAACGCGGAAATGGTTACTGGAAGATGAACATTTCCTACCTTAAAGAGAGTGATTATAAATTATTGATAGAAGATACAATAAAACAATGCGAGCTTGCTTACAGAAACACAGTATCAAAAACAGACTTTTGGGAATTATGTAAATTAGAAATTAAAAATGCTTCGATTACATATTCAAAACGGCGAGCAAAAGAAAGAAAAGAATATATTATAGAACTTGAAACTAAACTTAAAATATTACAAAACAATAGTATATTAGAATCCGAGCAAATTGAAAAATTAGAAAAAGAAATCCAAGAACTATATGAAACAAAGGCGAAAGGCGCACAAATAAGATCTCGAATAAATTTTATTGAAAATGGAGAAAAAAACACGAAATTTTTTTTGAATCTGGAAAAGTCGAGACAAACGCGGAAAACGATTAACTCACTTAAAATAAATGGAAATGTACTTTCAGATGAAACGAAAATTTTAAAAGAAACAGTAAATTATTACAGAACACTTTACACTTCTAGTAAAATTCCAACAGATCATATAAAAACATACCTTAACACTATTCAGTATGAAAACAAATTATCCGATGAAGAAGCGAGTAAGTGCGAAGGCTATTTAAATTTGAATGAAATAAAAACTGCTGTTAATGGACTTAAGCCAAATAAATCACCAGGAATTGATGGCATTCCTGCAGAATTCTATCAAGAATTTTTCTATTGTGTAGGCTCACATCTCACTGAGTGTCTAAATGAATGTTTTGATAAAAAACTATTATCTCATTCACAAAAAATTAGTTGTCTATCTTTAGTTTATAAAAAAGGGGACCCATTATTATTAGAAAACTATCGACCAATCTCATTATTATGTGTTGATGTAAAAATTGCAACTCGTGCTCTTGCCAATAGATTGCAAACTGTAATTCATAAAATAGTAAGCTTAGACCAACAAGGTTATATTAAAAACAGATTTATCGGATATAACATACGTTTAATACAAGACATAATAGATTATTCAGAAAAACTTCAAATAGATGGTTCGATAATGTTTCTAGATTTTCGTAAGGCCTTTGATACTCTAGAATGGAATTTTTTAATTAATGTACTTAAACAATTTGGTTTTAAATCGAACTTTATAAACTGGGTCGAAACATTTTATAATGATATTAAATCATGTATTTTTAACAATGGACATAAATCAGAGATATTTAACTTAAATCGAGGTATTAAACAGGGATGTCCATTATCTGCTCTTTTATTTATATTAGCTGCTGAAATTATGGCCATTGAAATAAGAAACTCAAACAGTATAGAAGGGATAAAAATCGAAAATAATAATAAACAAATTAAAATAGCACAGCTTGCTGATGACACTACTCTTTTTCTGAAATCTGAACAAGACATTCTGAATGCAATAAATCTGGTAGAGCGCTTTGGCAAATACTCGGGGTTACAACTCAATAGCAAAAAAACTGAAGCAATGTGGATAGGAAGAAGTAAATCACGAACTGATAAATTAGGAAATATAACATGGCCGAATAAACCAATTAAAGCACTAGGAGTCTATTTTGGCATACAATACGAAGAGTGTTCTAAACTCAATTGGCAGTCAAAACTAACTGAATGTCAAGGTCTAATAAAAAACTGGTTAAAACGTAAGTTAACGATGTATGGAAAAGTTCAAATTATAGAATCGTTATTGATACCAAAATTTACTTATTTGTTTCATTCTTTAGTTGTGCCAGAAAGTATCGTGAAAGAAATCAATACAATGATATTCAAATTTTTATGGGACAATAAACAAGAAAAAGTAAAACGTGCAACTTTAATAGGCAATAAATTACAAGGAGGAATAGATATGCTAGACTTAGACTCATATATAACTTCTTTAAAACTTAAATGGGTAAAAGCTTTAACTGATGAATCAGAAGCAAACTGGAAATTAATTCCGAAACGCCTACTGAAAGATTTTGGTGACAATTTTTTAATATTTTATTGTAATACAGACACTATTAAAAGTCTCAATTGTAGTAATGTGACTGAATTTTATCAAGAACTTATTAAAATATGGATAAAAACTCGCGATTTACATAAGGAAAATCAAAATTTGACATTTGAACAAATAAGAAAACAAATAATCTGGGGCAATAGATTTATTAAAATTAAAAACCAATGTTTGTTTTTTAAAACATGGATTAAATCGAATATATATTTTTTAAATGATTTACTTAATGATCAGGGTGAAGTAGATCAAAATGTTATCTTAAATAAGCTAGTAGATAAACGCAACTGTGTCGTTGAATTAAACTTGCTCTTTAAAGCTATACCTCTAGCCTGGAAACAAACTATGAAAACGTTTCACTCTTCGCAAACAAAAATAAAAACAGAAAAACGTCTTAAGATAAATAACAAACCTTTTGAATTGATGGATTCAAAAACAATATATCAAATATTAGTAAACAAAGTATTCATTAAACCTGCTACACATTCGTATTGGTCAAATAAATATGAGACAAAACTAAACTGGAATGATATATATAAATTCATTACAAGACTTCCTGATAATCGGTATAAACAATTCAAATTTAGAGTAATAAACATGATCTTTACAAGCAAAGAAACGCGCTATAAATGGAAAATGGTCTCATCTCCACTCTGTAATAAATGTAATAAAATAGAAGATTATCAACATCTTTTTATCGATTGTATGGCAGTACATGTATTTTGGGAGAAAATTTTATATATATTTCAAGAGTGCGGAATTCAAAGAAATATACGTAGACTAGACATCCTTATTTTCGGTTATAAAATATCTCAAGAAGAATACTTTTACATAAATGTTATACTCACCATTGTAGGTTTTAGTATTTATAAAGCTTACTTTTGTAGTAATAATTGGTCAAATGAATTTAACATTTTAAAACTGTTTAAAACAGAATTTGAAATAATTTATCAATACTTTAAATACAAGAAGACAAAAGTTAATTTTTTTTGACAAAATACTACAAATTTTAAAAGATATATACTAACCTCTAGATAGTATGTTTATGTACGTTGTAACTCTAATACATATGAATATCTCAAATTGAATTTGTTAAATTATGTCATTGTATATATGTATAATTATGTATAATATTTGTGAATAAAAAAAAAAAAAAAAAAAAAAAAATATGACACTGGTTATATTACCATGTTGATCATGTTGAGCATATATATATATATATATATATATATATATATATATATATATATATATATATATATATTATATATATATATATATATATATATATATATATATATATATATATATATATATATATATATTCATACTTTATTTTTGTCTCATTCATATACATACATTTTTATACATATTTACACATATTCACATAAAATCTGCATACGACCATTCTATTTAAGAAATTTAAGAGACATTATATCAATGATAAACATATTCAAGACCTATACAGTTAGTCTAAGACTAAAATCAAATAGTAAAATTACAATGTATTTAAACAAAATATTAAAAGTAAGGTAACCATCGCTAATCGAAAAATAAAAACTGATTAGAAATTGAGAATTGTAAATCGGAGCCCTATCGCGCCTATAAAACGTTTTAAAAGATCGATTACCATCCAAGATAAGATCTTGCATGACCTGATTAGCAAGGATTACCTTAACCTAGGTAAAATACATTATCATGTTTAAAGCAAATATAATGGCATTATTTACAAGAGAATAAAAGACGACGTTGTAGAATGTTAAAACAGGTTTTGGCACATTAACGTATCATTTCAGTTTTAGTGAACAGAAATATTAATTGTTCATGTTTAGACATTTGTAAAAATGCACTATCTACTGTTTTAGCCTTATCAAATAATGATTGTCGCATGTCATCGAACACAAAGCAATCAAGAATGACATGGCTTTCGTCTTCAATACTGTCACAGAACTGGCATTTTCGTTTCAATACATCTAAGCCTTCGTAACGCCCAGTTTCTATGCGTAAAGGCGCAACACCACAACGAAACTTGCTAAATGCAGTGCGATGACAAGGAGGCATAATGAGTTTACAATATAATTCTGTCTCATATTTTGTTTTAAACAGTCGATATGTACGCAACTTGTTGCAACCACGACCAGAAGGACCTGTGACACTATTCAAAGATTCGAGCCAGTTTAAAACAAATTTTTCTTGCAATTTAGTTGTAACAATATTCACTATAGTATGTTTTGGAATGGAAATTCTTTTATCATGTTGTTTATTATACAATAATTGTAATATCTATTTTATTATAAAAAATACAGATTTTATGAATATTGTTTTCCTCCCTTTTTTGTGTGTTAGGTGCTTTTTTAATACCACGGATTTATATTACATAAATCCGTGTTTAATACTGAGTTTTTTACGTTTACTACTCTTTTTTATTAAAATTGTAAAATAAATTTTAAGAATTCAATTGTCATATTGACCGACGATTGTAAGTCAAAACTTAACTGGAAAAAGTCAGCAAATTTTGGTTAATATTTCAATATATAATATTGTTTATTTTTAAACCATGTACATGTATATTTGTACTTTTCTTTATCATTTTTAAAATATCAATCTATTGTAAAATTCATAAAATCTCATTTGTAACTTTGAAAAGTTCTTCGGAATCTTTACTAAACACGAATAACAAATTAAATAAAATGTTTCAAAGTTGAAAGTGTCATATTAATACCATAAAAATGTACCTTTTTGCTCAATTATTGTACATATTTATTGTTTTTAACTCATATAGAGTTACAAACTAAGTGACAAACATTTATTTTGGAAAAAAGCTTATTTATCTGTAAAAATATTTTCCTTTCTGAAACGATATCAAACATCTGGTGACGGCCTGGTGAATTTTCGTGTTCTTTGTTCTATAGTAAATCAGTCACATTTGAGGCTTAATTCTGTTCCACTGTTCTTGATTAATTATAAACTGTCTTCAACTTTAAACATCAACACTATTTAAGTCAAATGAGGCCCAAAATATAATAGGTTAGCCATCTACTTTTTTCAGAAATCTTCACTCTGTTGTAACACAGTTTAAATTCACCACTTTGAAAACTCCTGACTGCTGGTGGGTGGTACATCTTTAATCCTTCCGCCAACAAATGAGTTCCTGGAGAATACACAAAAAACAACTTTTAAACACATCATATAACACACAAAAACTACACACATGCAATAAATACACTTTAATTATGACCAATCTAACTGGAGATGACTTAAATTGGGCCACTTCAAAATTTTAAAGAACTGCTTTCTAGACTACAACGGGTTGGGTCTCATTCCGTACCGGGTCGAGACCTAAATGAATCCAAAATTTAAGTTAAGCCAAAATTTATACTCATTTTTTAGTAATTTAGTGTTATACAAGTACATTCATATAGGTTTGACATGTCTCTAACAAATTACATTAATGCAGTACAATTTCTTAAATATAAAAATTCATGCAAAAAATCAGCCTCGGCCAATAGAATTTTACGCAAAAATTTATATCACAAATTCTGTCATATCTTTTGATTTTGCCAATGGATTTTCTTCAAATAAAGTTTGATGTTACCGGCTAATGTCATTTAGTTATTTTTATGAAAGAATAAGCCCTTATTGCTTTAAAATTGTAATATTAACTCCATTTATTTTAATGAGAGCATGAAATTTTGGTTTAAAATACAAGGCATCACAATTAAATGTGCTTTTTTCATAACTTTTTCCTTCAACATTGCAATAAAACTTACTGATTATGATTTTTACCTATATACTATGGTAAATAAAGTAAAGTACCAAGATATATACCCTATATTGTTTGCTTAAGATATCAATAAAGACAAACAGAGGTAATCTTAAGTTTAGCAAAGAGGTTACTATATCGCCATGGGCTATGTCTTCTGACAAAGTAAGATTAGCCAACTCTCACACAAATAAGGCTAAAAAATGATGGCACATACTGTCTCCCACTTTAAATCATTGAGAAGTGTTAAAATAGTCAAAATTAGAGAAATTTTCTCCTGATATACATCAAAATATCTACCAAATATTGCCCGAGCATTGGGAGTCGTTGCCGTCAATAGCTGAAGTTTCAAACTAGACATAAGTTATTACCTTCTCAACTTGTCCTGACAAATCTGCTGCCAAACTGAGCTGAAAGAGTTCTTCCATAGATCTTAACCAGTATAAGGTAAGGTCCTGTACTCAAACCCCGGCTTTGGTAACTGCATGGTCTGAAAAAATATGCAACACTAGTACATGTCGAAGGAAATTATAAGAGGCATTTATGCTGTTATTCTAATATCCAAAAAAGAAAGAAAATAATTTCTTAATTAATCAATGGCTTGATTTGCTAATTCACACAGGAAGGCTTAAATATTGTGTGCTTAAAAATGCATGCCTGCGTGGAAATAACAGTTTAGACATTATAAACCTAACCTAGTTTAACTGATGTAGCAGCTACAACAACAACAACAACAATCACATCAACTGTGTTATTCTAAATGAGCCAATTATCCATAAACTCACTGTTAAATGACTAGAAAATCTTTTGTGTGTATATATATTAGTAAATACATTCTGCAGCACAGCAAAACATCAAGTTTCACTACAATAAAAATGCCTTTATTTCCAACATGTTAATCACATTTGTCCTGTTCAATTGTCAGTTCTGCTTCATTGAAATACAAGACAATAGTGAATATTTACAATCTGATTACTACAGCATCAATACTTTGCTGAAACATCAGTGCATATAATGCGTGGTCCATATGAGCAATAGGCTACTATGGTGCTTGTTCGAATCCCATGGCCGGTGCTTCTTGGGCCCCTAAGACCTCTGGAATGAGCTTGCCAATCACTTTTTTTTGCCAATGTAACCAGCCTGAAAACATGCACTCCCCAATTTCTTGCAATGCATGGTTTATCCATAATTTAAGATGCATTTCTCTAAAAATTATCATTTTCCATATAAATCTTATAAAAAATAAGCTATAGATCTAGTAAATTGCTAAATACAGGGTGCAAAAATAAAATTTATCAATTTATTAACTGCTTTAAACAAAATTTAAATTTCATTTTTTAATTTTAAATGTATATTTACAGTTTTAATTCAATAAAATGTGGTTAATCCTTCATGCAAAAGCTCTGTACCCTTCCTCTGCACCTACTGACACAGTAGCAGACATCTACATTTGAAGTGGAGATAACAATAACAACATCTGTCCCAATTTAAAATGTCAAAATCAAAAATTTGAAATAAAATTTAAAATTTTCAAACCTATCAGTTATCCTTTATTTTCCTGATTTCTATGCATAAACACAACACTGATGCAAAGATTCATCCATATCCATCAACCAGTTCCCATTTTTCAAATTTCTCCTCTTGGTGACGGCTTGGTGAATTTTCGTGTTCTTTGTTCTATAGTAAATCAGTCACATTTGAGGCTTAATTTTGGATTCCACTGTTCTTGATTAATTATATACTGTCTTCAACTTTAAAAATCAACACTATTTAAGTCAAATGAGGCCCAAAATACACTTTAATTATGACCAATCTAACTAGAGATGACTTAAATTGGGCCACTTCAAAATTTTAAAGAATTACTTTATAGACTACAACGGGTTGGGTCTCATTCCGTACCGGGTTGAGACCATCTACTCCAAAACCGGGAGAGACCGGACAATAAACGTGTGATTTTATTCGCCGGTCACTAGTAAATACCGGTCAAAATAGACCGGAAGAGACATTTATTTATCATTGGTCTTTAATATAATATGATTTTTCGGTCACTGTGGACAGCGCAGCTATATTCCAGCTGTCCACCAAGCGTATCGATGCGTAAGACTGGTCAATATATAAGGTGTATGTACACGGGTATTTGACCATTCGAGGTACTATAGGTTCACTACACACAGACGTAATTACACGATAGTAATGGAAGATAATGAGCAACGTGGCAATGAACACGTTGAATTTAGATCCAGAGAAAGTTTAACTCGGGACAGAGAACAGTATTCGCCTTCGAGAACTTCAAGAAGCAGACGAAGTATTTCACCAGAAGTTAGAAGAAACTCGCCAAGCAGGCAAAGTGAGTTTCCATCGAGAGATAGTCGAGAAGAACAGGAGCGTTCCAGAGATAGACGAGGTAAGTCCCCGGGGGGAAGGGAACGAAGTTTTTCAAGCCTTTGATTTATTTAGAAGTTATTTTGATTCTCGTTTGTCTGACTTGAAGAGTGATATAACTTCTCAAAGTTTGAAGTCTAAAGTTAAAAAGTAACTTTGAATAAAAAGTCGCATAGAATTCAACACGAATTTAACCTTGAAATTCTTGACGGTTTGGAGTCGATTTTGAAGGAGTTGTCTAAATCAGATTTGAAGGCTGATGTTAAAGGTTTGATAAGTAAGATTAAACACAGGAATAAATTGATACAAATAGCAGATAGTTCCCCGGGGGCTGGTCTACAGTCCGAGAATATGAGAAGCCTTCTCTCGCTAGCGATAGCGATGATGAACGGAAACTCAAGCAGGCCGAATCTAGAGCCCATTAAAAAAGGTTAAGACAACTTCTTCAAAACAAGCTCGTTTTCATCCTTATAAGAGTGATTCTCTTTCTTTCATGGGTTACAAATCAACCACACCAAGGGCAGATGATTCAAGATATTGGTTACCACCACGTCCCAACTTCAATCAGCTTTTTTCGTGGCCAAAGACGAGCAACACCAAATGACGTCTGCTAAGCATGTGGGTACAGAGGGCACTTCCGGCGTCAATTCAACCGTTTCTTGTCTGGAAAACAGGTACCGACGGAATCGACATACGTAAGACAACCGGAACCAGTACAAGTACAGCCACCAGTTAATGATAAGTATTTAGATATGTATCTATGTTCAAAAGAATTTTTTGAGATGCAGGAATTAGATTTTGAAAAAAGCAAGGTTTTAAATGGAAATGTAAAGGGTCGTCTCAAGAAAAATGTATCATTTTGGAAAAAATTGGAGCTAATGAATATATTTTAGATACATTGAGAAATGGATACAAATTAACTTTATTTTCTGTACCTCAAAGGTCAATTTCTAAAAAATAACAAGTCTGCTTTAGATAATATGGATTTTGTAGAAAAAGCTGTTTCAGAACTTTTAAAGAATCATTGTGTTGTTGAGGTTCCATTTACACCACATATTATCAATCCATTGACTGTTTCCATCAACAATTTAGGAAAAAAGAGATTGATTTTAGATTTGAGAAAAGTTAATGAACATATTTGGAAAGAAAAAATATCTTTTGAGGACTGGAAAGTTGGACTTGAGTATTTTACACATGATGGGTATATGTTTAAGTTATATTTAAGTAAGGGCTACCATCATTTAGACATTCTCCAAGCCATCAAACGTTTTTAGGTTTTTCAGTAAAGGGGAAAAACTACTGTTTTACTGTTTTACCTTTTGGCATCAGTAGCGCCCCTTACATTTTTACAAAAGTGTTGAGGGAAATGGTTTAAATACTGGAGATTGAACGGAATAAAAATTGTAATGTTTTTAGATGATGGTTGGGGTAGCAACAAAACTTTTGAACAGACTAAAGCCGATTCTTATTTTGTTAAGAACAGTCTTGAGATGGCAGGTTTTTTTATTAATCAAGAAAAATCAATATGGTTCCCAGTTCAAGAATTGGAGTGGATTGGTATTTTCTGGAACAGTGAAAAATTTTGCATATCCATTCCTCAAAGAAGAATTGATGATTTTAACATAACTCTCAAGTAATTGTTGGGTTCTCTCCCTTATGTCTCTGCTAGACATTTAGCGAAATTTACAGGAAAAGTCATTTTTATGATGCCCGTTATTGGGAATATAGCAAGACTGATGACTAGGTATTTGTATAAAGAGATAGAGACTAGTAAGTCGTGGGATTTTTGTTATAAATTGCCATTAAATCATCCTTGCCTTACTGAAGTAAATTTTTGGGTTGAAAATTTAGAGAAGTTAAATGTCAGAAAATTGTCGGCGTACAATCAGGTACAGACTTTGATATATTCTAATGCAAGTCATCTGTCATGTGGTTCTTATATCGTTGACTGCAAAAACAGTGTGTTCCATAGCGTTTGGAATAGTGAAGAACAGGTTAAGAGTTCAACTTTTAGAGAGTTAAGAGCAGTTTATCTTGCTTTACGAGCTTATGGAAGTTTGTTAGAAAATTCTAAAGTAAAGTGGTTTTCTGATTCTCAGTCATGTGTGAAAATTGTTCAGTCGGGTAGCACGAAATTAGATTTGCAACTTGAGTCGCTTAATATCTTTAAATTATGTTTAAAATGGAACATAGATTTAAGCATTCAGTGGGTACCACGTGAGCATAATCAGATAGCAGACGACATAAGTAAAATATATAGTTCAGATGAGTGGGAGGTTACTACGAATTTTTCAATTTTATTGATCAAATGTGGGGTCCTCATGAAGTAGATAGGTTTGCCAGCTTCAAAAATCGCAAATTAAATCGGTTCAACTCTTTGTTTTATGAATATAAGTCTGAGGCAATCGATGCTTTTACACAGTCTTGGTCAGACTGCAATAACTGGCGTGTGCCACCTATATACACTTAACAAATCTTATAAGTGTGCACCAGTTATGTCCTTATAACTTTTTCGTTTATTAATATATTTTTACAAAATTTTGTGTTCTGACTATTGGCTGCATTTCCACATTTTCCCTGTGCTCAAGCATGCCAATTTCAATTATAAGGTGGTTCAACCATGAACGAACAAGATTCACACAATGCACGAAATAATTGTGACAATTGGTGAAATAAAATTGCAAGTGATATTCTCGGATACGATAGAGATCCACATATCAGAAAAACACCACATGGGTAGAATATCCAACAACAGCGGGACCCAGCCCTAGGATTGGTCAACACAGGGGTACACAAAATAGAGGTTGGTAACAAAATTTATTTGTTCGAATGACTTTTTAATTCCTTTGCATTATAAAAGCCGAATATCATTCAAATTCAGTTTCTACCTAAGACTAACATAAATGCATGTTTATTTATTTACTCATTACATGTCTATATCATTTGTAGGTTGCGCTTCGCATGGGTGTTCACCGAAATATTATAAAAAGGCTAATCATTGAGTACAGAGCAACTGGCATCGTTGGTAACCTTCCTCACCGACACCCAAATTATCTACAACGTTTTGTAAGACACTGTCAGGCTGTAATACACAGTAAGTGTGGGTACAAACGGTATTATGACATCCTTTTGCAACATCGACTTTCGACACGCAATTACATTTTTGAGAAATACATCTTAAATTTGTATCTTGAATGAAAAATAAATAAATAAAAATGATACCGTGTCTCTGTTCTGTATTTATTGAAAATTTCAGCATGATTGGGCAAATATTGACACACCTATGAAACCATTTATACATGCACACTTATAAGATTTGTTAAGTGTATCTTGCTTCTAGAACTATATTTCACCTTTTAGCATGTAAAGGGAAAGGCACTCTGATAGTTCCTAAATGGCCCAGTTCGTCATTTTGGCCAATTTTGTTTAAAAACAATGGCGTCAAGCAAGATTTTATCAAAGATATTCTAGAGTTTAAAGCAGGTCAAAATATTTTCATGAACAAAAATTGCATTAACTGTATTTTTGATTCTAGAAGATTTAATAGTAAAGTTTTAGCTATTCGCTTAGAATAAGAAAACACGAAAGTTTGTTAGTTGTTGATCTATTTGCAAGTTAAACTGAATAAATCTATTTTGAACGAAGTTTTATTTTTGTAATAAGTATTTCAGATTAACAGCATTACATTTTTTCTCGTTTACTTATCATCATGTCCCCCTCCTTTAATACATGCATATATACTGGTGTACATTGGTGTACATAAATTCGATCTGTACATGTCTGTCTTGCGTCGTAGACAGACAACATCGTACTTGAATGATAGCAGCGGGGTTTTTATTCTTCTTACACGACTGTTTTTGTTTTAATTAATACGTAGACGAAATTGTATTGTGTAAGTTGTTTAGTATGAATTGATGTACACTATTCTGTACATATCTGTCTGGCATCCTATGTAGACGAAGTATCGATCCGATCGATAAGAATGAGGTTTATGTACATGAATTCTGTACATGTCCGTCTAGCATCCTATGCAGACGAAGTATCGATCCGATCGATAAGAATGATGTTGGTGTACACAAATTCTGTACATGTCCGTCTAGCATCCTATGCAGACGAAGTATCGAGAGGTTTATGTACATAAATTCTGTACATGTCCGTCTAGCATCCTATGCAGACGAAGTATCGATCCGATCGATAAGAATGATGTTAATGTACACAAATTCTGTACATGTCTGTATTTATATCTATTTATGTAGCAGAAGTCTCGGTCTGCATGATTTGTTGTTTGAGATTGCCGTAAAGTGGGCTGGGTTTTTATTATTGTTATGTTGCTTTAAATAGAAGTTTATTTTATACATTTCACAGACGTGTTAAAAGTTGGAGTATGGCGAAAGCTGGACCAGTTAAGATTACCACAACAATTACATGAAGAATATGTAAAGCTTAAAAAGTTCACATTAAAATCTAAAGCGGAAAATACGTTAAAGAAATATAAATGCTATTTTAAGTTGTTTTGTACATGGTGTAAGAAATACAATTTCAGCTCTTTACCTGCGCTTGATGTACATGTAGCTTTATATTTGTCATCAGTTTTCACCTATGGTTCGTCAGAGTCAAAAATAAACAGTATTTTGTATTCAATCTCTTGTGCTCATAAAATGGCCGGGTTAGAAGATCTGTGTTCTTCTGAATTTGTGAAAAATATTAAATGTGGCATTTTAAGGGAGTGTGGTAAGCCGTCTAAGCCTAAAGAGCCTCTTCTGGCCGAAGATTTAGCTAAATTAGTTTTTACATTTTAATTCAAATGTAAACTTAATGGATATGAGATTTATTACAATGTCTCTTCTTAGTTTTTCTGGATTCTTACGGTTTGCGGAAGTAATACATTAAAACGATCTGATTTAGAAATTTGATGATAGTCAGGTCAAAATAATGTTAGGATCTTCTAAAACAGATCAATTAAGGAAGGGAGCTACAGTAGTTATAGCAAGAACTAATAAGTTTACCTGTCCTGTTACTGCCTTGGAGAAGTATTTAAAAATGGGAAAAATTAATATAGATTCGGGGGAATACTTATTTAGGAAAGTCAGCTTTTGCAAGAAAAAAGGTAAATATGTTTTGAGAGGGGGTTCTCCTATTTCTTATACGCGTGCTAGAGAAATTCTCATAAAGAATTTAGCATCTATCGGGTTGAATACTAGAAATTTTGGTTTGCATTCATTTAGATCAGGAGGTGCTACTTCGGCTAGTAATCAAGGAGTTTGTGAAAGATTGTTGAAAAAACATGGAAGATGGCAGTCTGAGACATCTAAAAATTTATACATAGAGAAAGTGACGAAATTAAACGAAGTGTGTCTTTAAATCTGGGCATTTAGATCAATTATTCATCGACTTATGAAACGTATCCCGCTCTTTTTCTGTCGATAAAATTAAAGTGAACCTGTAGTAGCCACTCCTACATTGCCTTTCTTATTTATATTTTATCCTTGTAGGATATTAATTATGGAGTTAAATGATAAATTATTTATGTTTGGCTGAATGAAATGAAAGAAAACATAAATTTATTTATCATTGGTCTTTAATATAATATGATTTTTCGGTCACTGTGGACAGCGCAGCTGTATTTCAGCTGTCCACCAAGCGTATCGATGCGTAAGACTGGTCAATATATAAGGTGTATGCACACGGGTATTTGACCATTCGAGGTACTATAGGTTCACTACACACAGACGCCCACTCACCCCGCCCTCGTTTTGAGATTACACTTAAGATTGTATATGTCATGCTGGACTTTGTAATGTCACAATAATGTTAAAAAAAAAAATGTATACTTTAAGGTTAATCAACGGTATTGATTAATGTTTATTTAATATGGAAATTATCTTTGTTTTGTCTTTTTCAGAGTAGACAATTTTTTTGTTGTCTTTTGATAACGTTGCAAGGATGGATGCTAAGTTTGAGTGAGTTTTTGTGGTTCTGACTTTGAGGTAACACATTTGTGTGTATTAAGACATACTATTCCTTACAGTGCACTGGAATGACACGGAACCACAATTTTTGGAATGTTCGGATCGACGACATGGGACTTTTATATGAGCATATGTTATTATTGTTAAGTGCAGAGACACTCCTCACTAGTTTAAAGTGATTTTTTTTTCAAGTGTCGTCGATGTGTATGAATGTATATTTATTTATTCGATAAAATTAAAGTGAACCTGTAGTAGCCACTCCTACATTGCCTTTCTTATTTATATTTTATCCTTGTAGGATATTAATTATGGAGTTAAATGATAAATTATTTATGTTTGGCTGAATGAAATGAAAGAAAACATAACGGGAATTAACGATAGGAGTACATCCTTCTATAAATAGATTTTCGGAATGTTTAGGTAGACAGTAGACATTTAGGTCATCAACTTATCATTCTATGTACTACAAAATGATAAATAAAAAAAACTGAAGAGACGGAAAAGGTTATATGAAAATGTTTGCATTGCGAAATTCTCCAATTCACTATTCATTGTACATATCGCGACATTTCATTTTTAATTAATAATAATCAAGCACCCTCATACCGATCGGAATGATCGGCTTTTATTATTACCGACTAAAAGGCTCGAGAAGTTGCTGTCGCCCTTTCACAAAATCTGATTTCATTCCATAAAGGCGCGGACGCCAATAAATGTAAAATCATGGGAATCGTTTGTTAGTTTGTTTACGCCGATATTAACAGATTTTTTGGTTGAATCTTTGCTGTCCTTGACCGAATTTCCTGTATAACTTACCAATAACAATCATTTTCTTCGCGAATGACCGACTTCTTAGTCCACATTATTTCTAAATCAGCGATGAGAGACATATTTGTTAAAGATTTTAAAATGTCTGCGAAAAAACCATTTCAAAGGGAAAATTTTTTTGGGGCTCGGCCAATTCCCGGGGAGCAAAATGGAACCCCCAGGGATTATAATGAAATAACCTCCTTATTGAGCATTAAGCTTAAAGCTACAGTCCTCCAGATGGGTCACAATATCTCAATAAAATCAAACTTGAGAAAATGTACTAAGGTGTAAGAAAAAGTAAAAGGTTCGAGATATAAGTAATAGTTTACATATTATGTGCGATTAATGACCGATTTTTTCAATATTTACAACTATATTTCTACTGCGTTACTAACGCAGTAAAGGGTATTTATGCATATTTTGACCACTTTTTGGTAATTCACTCGGTTTGTAAGTGTCATTAATAATGTGTAAATCGCTTCCTTTTGGTTACTTCACAATATTACACATTTAAATACGTTTTCAAAATTTTCATGAAAATTAGCATAATTTTGGAGGCGTCCTGCTTTAATGTGCATTAATATGTCCCAACTAATTTGCAAAAAAATGGGTTTAAAAAATTTAAAGAAAACTTTTTGAAAAAAAAAGGGGGAAAAATTGTAATGGGACAGGGGAATTAACTTCCAAAACACAAAAAGCCATAAAAATATTTTTGTTTGATTTTTATAAACATATATCTCAATTCCCCCTAAAGAAATCAAAAGCACGGGAAGGCGCTTGAAATTTGTTTGGGTCTCAGAATGTCAGAAAGATGAAGGTTGTGAGATTAATAAACCAATTTGTTTTTGTATAGTGCCACCCCAATGCTTTTCCAGTGTTTTAACTATAAAATTGGCTATAAGAACTAAATTGCAACACTGATATTCAATTCAATGTTTATTTGACTTAAACAATTTAAAACAAATGAGCTGACTTTAATTGGATTTTGAACTCCAGACCTCTCGATTCCTATGCGAGCGTGCAAATCCCTCGGCCACGGTGAAGTTATATGTTAACGGCCTGAAGAAAACCATATTATTCTAAATTAGGGTTTATAACTCTTATTATTTCGACGCTTAACCTGTTGTGTAACACAGATGTAAATAATCATGGGGCTTACTATAAGCATGTATATATATAAAGAATAAAACAATATTAGAAATTTTCGACCATTCGGGAACTATTTTGCTTGAAAATTAACTCGCTTGTCATTTGACAATCTTTACTCAGTGATCTCCCCTGAATTTTTCGGCGTTAGTGTACGAATAAACAGAAGTCACCGCTTCAAAAAAGTGGACTACTTTCGGCATATGCAATTGACAGCATCAGGGTCTGAAATTTCGCTACCATTATTTGTTTGGTCTGACGACCCAAACAAATAAAAATGAAAGTGAAAGAAATATGTCGCAATGTTCAACGACTGTTCAAGTTTTAAGGTCATTATTTTGATATTCCATCATAAAGATTTATATGCCAGATGAATATTTGAAAACAAAATTGATCGTTCGATCAGTAGTCATTTTAAGTTTTCTTTATGAAATGTTTGTATAGTAAAACACCTAGTTAAAGAAATATAACAGAGTATACATGTATATTTTATGAAATGTGTGATGCATTCAATTAGAAGACATGTTCAATAATGACAAAATTAACAAATGAAAATATGTTTCTTTATGTACAAGTATATATTCCTTGTTAATGAACCTTTTATAGTCAGTGTTCTACTCCAATATCTTCAATTGAGAATTTATATAATGTAATATAAGAATTCCGATTTTCACTAGTCTTCTGCGGTGAGGGGGCACAGTATGAATTTCCGACATAAACGTAAATTACACACAGGAAAATAACATATATACAAAATAAATTCAGAGGAATGTTTTTGAATGGAGGTTTGTTGTTTTTAAATATTAACAATTTATTGCAAATGATTTTGCCATTAAAGTACATATAGATATATTCTACACTACATGTATTTTATATGCAGCGAAAAGTAAAACAAGTTCTTGTAGAAAGAAAAATGTTTCTTTTGCATGTATAACAATATCTGCACATTGAAGCTGATCATTCAATTTTGATCGAAAAACAAGATCTATATCTTTATGTTCTACGATTCCTTCTAAACCCTTTGAGCAAAAACATACGAAGTTATTAAGAATAATCAGTCATATTCAGAGTATCATTAATTCTCTTTAAAGTCTCTTTTAGTTAGATCTTTCAATAGCTGCAGCTAAACGTTTATGCCAACGATGTGTGCTAAATGCTAATTATTTTTTACTAAATATGATTCTGTTTTATGTTGCTATAAATTGCTTCGGGCTGTGTTTCCTTATTCAACATTTCGTAAAGCCCATCTTGGTTTATCGTGTTGTTTGACCTTGCAGTATCCGCATCAAGTGTTGTATAATCGCCGTCAGCATCTACTTTATGCTGCAACATTTCATAGAAACCGTCATCTGTTTGTGCTGCTATTTCATTATTTGCGCCTGTATCACCAGATTATACCATCATTAATATAATTGTGCGAATTGTCTTCAATTGTAGAAATTTTCTCAGTAGGTTCATGATATTCATGTAGCATTTCATGGCCATTATTTTGCTTCCTGAATAAGATGAAGAAAAATTTAGGAATAAAGACAATTCATTTTTGTTATGCATTAGGATTACCAAGAGAAATTACGAAATCTTATGCTAGGTAGTAGGCACATATACAAATAGAATTTCACATGAGCTATCATATCAAATAGAAAATATTTAACGAATTCAAAAACGAGTTATAAAGGGAGCTTCTTGCGAACTATATAACATTCAATAAAGAAAGGTATTTCACACCTTTTAAATTGTAACCAATGATATTCAAGCGTTTGCATCCCTTGATTTCCAAATATTATTTTATTATAGGATAGTTTTTCAACATTTTTTCTTCATCGACAATACAATTTATATATAAAAACTAATGTGAATATCTGACTAAACGTATATAAAAAAAACGTTTCGCGCTTAATGTGCGTTATTAATTAGGACAATGTTATATTACTACTACATGTATACATATATGGTTTTATTTCATTGAAACATGTTGTGCTGTGTAACCAAAAGGTTTAAAATCTCTAAACAAACTCTTTGTTACTTCTTTTCCTGAATTTGATTTTATTTAGCCGTAGTTTATTGCAAAATTACAAAAACATCGCAATAAAATAACTAATATAATGATAGTCTATATGTAAATTGAAGCAAAAAGTCTTACCGAACTTTAACAACAATCACCGTAATAACTGTAGCTATAACTGCCATCAAGATCACTAACACTGGTACAATAATGATGGTTGACCCGCTGGACTTACCTTAAAAAAGTGTTGTACGGTGCAACATAAATAAAATAGGATAATTCAAAGTCTTGTCTAAAGTATCAACTCTTAAGACGAATATTTATTGTTACTTCGACATATATTTTGATATGATAAAATAAGAAATATTCATCACACACCGATTTTGTGACTCCGTAAACATGGTATTGCACGGTCGTGCAAATATTTTGACGTGATGTCATTTGCGTTATACAAACAGCGTTAAGACCCGCTAAATGTTAGCGTTACACTACTGGCATGCGAGCAGTTCCCGTACAAAAATCACAGTTACTTAATCATTATTTTTATTACGCTCACTCACCAATATTTGAATGTTACACATCAATATTCGGCTCGTCACACAAATCATGGAAATTCCATCATGTTCTAAACATAGAATAACCCTTACTTATGAGGCCTCATATGGGGTACCGAAATTATCCATTATTTTGTATGAAGAGAAGTAGTTCCCGTACGTAAAATCTAACCCATTATAATTATACAATTTTATTATATCGGACCTATTTTTCATTTACAATTGTTGAACAGACCATTATCTAAGAGATAAATAGATGTAATTCAGGAAATAGAGCGTAGACTAAACGCGGGTATCTATTACCCGGTACCGTTACCCCAACGCATTCATATGCAGTAACATGCTTGTATGCATGATATTTTACGCATCAAAGCCATCAAATTATTATTTATAGTAATATTGGTCAACATTCTGATAATTAAACAATTTTTCATCTCATTGCCTACTTATTTGTAAACAGGTGGTATTAGTGGAAAACCCTTTAACAAGCCTCACGTGTAAGTATTTTTGCGCATGCGCGCAAGGGCGGAATCCCCCAGAGAAAACAAGGTCACGTTTTGACGACGCACAGGTGAAAGTGAGTTAAAATGAGACTTTATATACGTACTGCCGAACTGACAATTAGATTTTGTCTCGTTTATGTATCTGCTTGATTTGATATGAATTTTTGAAGAAGGCAAGTAAAAATCAAGAGTTTAAATGAAAAATACGGGTACTGCTTCTGTACGGGAACTGCTCGCATGCCAGTATAGGCACGTTGAGTAAATAAAGTAATATTATGTTTGCCAGGGGCTCGCATAATGTATTTTTTTTATTCAACTCGTTCAATAAATTCAGTATTGAAGTTTCATTCAATTTCATCTATTTAATACCTATAGCGGTAGATCTTAATCTAAGAAATTATTGTGAAAAACCCAAATACATTCAAATGGTCAGTCTAACTAAAGTTTATGGTTATGATAATATATTTAGCCGTGCTTGATAAAGAAGAGCGAATTTGCGCTCTCACAGTCATGATCACGCATATGGTATTGTTTGGCAGTATTAACCTGAGACTGTTTTGTTTTGGGGGCGGCTTTTCGGTAGTTTCTTTCTTTTACGATTTATGCATGTTTTCTTTATTCAATTTATAGTAGTTTTCTCGATACTTAAATCCATAATCATGACCGGCTGTCCTTATTGTAAGTACAGCGTTGTTAAAAGATCGAGTCCAGAACAAACCATATTTTAAATTGCTTCCAATTTAGCACTTTAGATGTATGACAGGGAAAAAATATTTCTTTTAATTTTCATAATTTTATTAATATGTATTTTTCATTAATTACGATATGTAAAATCGTTCAATGAATGATCGACAAACATTCAGTGAGATCAAATAAGTACTGTTCAAATCCCCACAGGGACTTTTGATTCTTTCATGTGATGAAGCGATCCAGCTAGCTTACAACACGCCGGTGGTTCTACTCAGGTGCCGGTTCGTGCCTGAAATAATACACGGAAGGCCACCTGAGGTCTTCCTTCACGAGTAAAGAACGTTGCCATATGACCTATGCTATGTTAATGTGACGAAAACCCAATCAATCAACCAAACAAACAAATAGGCAAACAAAGTATCTGATTAACATATGGGGCAGTCAAACAGATAAATATGTCATTATATCCTAACTATATCACATAATGTAAACATTTTTTAAATAGTTATACAAAGTAACATACAACATTTCCTGTTTGAAGAATCAAATCATAATTAAATAACATCAATGGAGGACAATTTCTTAGATTTAAATGTAAATTTGTGATACCAACTTATACAAATGTTTTATCTCACAAAAGCAAGTTATTGTACCTAAAATCTTATTAAATATAAGTTTGTGAAAAATGATTAAAGTTTTTGGTATATAAAAATTGTCTTATTAATATTTAAGCAGATGTCCATACCCTTTTTTATAACGTAGTCTGGCGAAACAGATGAACAGCTTATTTAATTTCAATAAATTATTTACCTTCTGTTTTTTAATGTGTGTTTGGCGTTGTTTTAAATGGACTGTTAGTTATAATTGTACTACTTGTAGGTGCATATGTAGAGCTGTTTGATGATGATGTTACCTCCCTTTGATATGTTGAAGTTATTGTTATTGTCTTCGTAGTTTTCGCTTCCCAGTTTGTTGTTGTTGACGTGAATTTTGTCGTACTTGTGTTTATCTGGTCAACTGGTGAACAAAAAAATTAATTCCAAGAGTTTTATCATGGTAACAGAAATGTTTTATTTTCATTTGTTAGTTATTTGTTATCCTTAAAACGACTACTACTTTTGCAATGAACTAAATGTGTATTCAAGTATAGTCATAAATTCGAATTTCTTAATTCTAAAAGGCACTAAGCAGATGCAATTTATTAGGAAGAATTTAGTGTTCAAGGTTGCTCCTGTATGCACAGTTTAGGGAAACGCAACTGCTGAGCAACATATATTCACGGTAGAACTCAAAATAAATTTAAAATGGATATAGCGATAGCCCTAGCACCGGCTTGAGTGGTACTCAAACTTAACAAAACGACTACCGAGTCATGAAAACTTATAACGCCCGCACGTATTTCATCAAAGTAAGTTTGTTTGTATGCTATTTTGAATATTTCGAATATGCCCATTCATTAAAGTAATGTTTTTGACAGAGTCGGTTTTAGGTTTCAGCTTCTTCAAAAAATGACGAAGTATCTAGAATACTTTACCATGTAAGTTTAAGAATTTTGAAAATATATGATGAATTAAAGCCAACAGTCATCTGGCCATTAAGTAGAACACCTTCCTATTTTAATAGGCGTTTCCACGCTATTCGAATATCTGAAGGAGAACAAGGAATTCGCTTCACGGAAATCACAGGCAACACAATCACAAAGTATATCTTTATAAATGGTTATATAGTATCCCAGTAAACTTGCCAGATAACAGGACGTAAGTAAAAAATTATTTCACTCTAAAAGTAAAATGTATTGTTTACATGTCAAAATGAAGGAATTCTATCGCACATAAGTGACAAACATACATACAGACAGACAAACATACAAAAATAGTTTCTGTCAGAAGGGTCAATGTATGTTAAATATACAAAACATTATTAAAGCCACAAAAATTGATTCAAATACATAAAAAATGGTTATTCTCTGATAGTTTAGACTATCATTTGAAAAAGACATTTCGTAATTTAACTATAAGTTAAACTTTTGTGGCACCAAATATCGTACGGAGAAATTCTCTAGACAAACATGTCCAGTTAAGTCGTGAAAACAATTAGTTACAGAAAAAAATAAAGAAATGTTGTGTAAACAGTGTTAGATGTAGATAAAATTATGCAAACATTAAATTACACAGTTATCAATTAGATTAGCTTTTATGCACAATAAACAATTAAAAATCCTGTATGTTGTAGTTAAGGATGTAACCACACTTAAGTGAACTTTAATATATGTACTCGTATATAATTACTCTTGTAAAAAAGTTTTCAAACATCCAGGAATATTTTAGATATGTACTGCAAACGTTTATGCGCATTTTAAATTATCATTGAAATATATGTGAAAAAGTTGGCTAAGACTTTATCGAAAATATATTTCTAATTACCTCCCTTTATTTGCATGAAAATGTGAAATCGGTAAAATCTTTACAAATAATGTTTATTGGAACTTACACCATTGATAAAAGTTCTTATCATATTTATGATATTAGAACATTATTACTTTGAGTAACAGGATCTTTAACGGTGGAACAAGCGTGGATATGCCGGGCGTTACATTATGCTACGTAAATATATTTGTAAGCGTACCTGTTATATAATACACTGATATTACCCAATGTCCTCCACAAGTTTCATTTGTGTTGCCTTCACAAGGGTAGACACAACCATCAGCTTGCCTTGCAAAGCTCATAAAATGTCCACAATGACACTCATCTCCACTCTGTAAGTAACACAAAGCTTGTACTTTTAATTATTTTCCCTTGCAAAAATGATTGTTATAGAAAACCTTAAAGGATTATTTGTAAGCATTTTATCTATCTGGATTATTGTTCAGATCAATTGAAATGCAATGAATTTACAATCAACTGTTTTTCCAAAGTTGCAAAAAACAGCTCAGAAACGGACGAATCCAGGAAAGATACAATAGTCAAAGTGTTACATGAAGATATGCTGGTACTGAATGCAAAATAAATCTTTTACCAGTGTTGAACGAATAGGAAAACCAAACACCTAAAAATCACACGTCCAATACTTGTTTGTAAATTTGTGAATTTCGCAGTTGAGCCAAAATTATTTATACCTACATTGTAAATGTACCAATTTTGTAAATATTTTACGATTATGTACCAAAATTATGTACCTTTAGTACAAATCGTATGGAATATATGTACTGTAATATTCTATATAATATAATTTGTTCTTGTCATTATTTATAATTTATACAATGCATAATTATAAATGAAATGTTATTTTAATGTTAATTCATTGACCATTCAGCATCAAATATTGATAACAATGAAATAAGATGAACGTTTTAGGAAATGACACAAATGTATAATTAGGATCCTTTTTTAATATAAGTATATTAAACATTTCCTTCTATTTTTATCACCTCAGTTCCTGCATATCTGTATCCGCCGATTTTACAATATTGAATGCATTCTTCCCCACTGTTTGTCTTTGAAGTGCGGCTTTTCCCTTTCAGAATTCTTTCTGGCCCATCCAAAAAGCAGCCAATATAATTTACCTCTGTGACAGCTGTAGTGTGACAAGATATTGTTATAAGACAAGTTGTTACAAATGTTATAATATTAACCTGTTTCGGCAAATACTCTTTAGGCTGCATTTGATATTGTCATAGTTTCTGAATATTCAATGTCCAAAGTTGTCTCGTTTTATTCATTTTACGATGTATTTTGAGTTTAAAAAAAATACCAAAATAAAATGGAGAATTACAACATGTCAATAACAGTTACAAAGTATTTTAATTTGTTTATTTATTAATATTTTGATTTGACAGAAAAGATGACTACTATAATTGTACCGATGGACCTTATACATGTATAAATATATAAGTGGGTGAGTCTATCAGGAAACAAATCATGTTCGGGAAGTGATCAAAATAAAAATGATTAAGAAAACAATTTATCAAAATCAATTAATTGGATAATAAAATGAAGCAGTTGGCACTTGCAAAATAACAGTCATATTAAAAAGATGACGGGGACGAAATTTAAAACAAAAGTTTCGTAAAATATTTTTTGAAGAAGACAACTATTTCCCAATGTAGAATTATAATAATATTTCCGTAGGAGAGTCTAATTATCAGCTATAGAAAAAAGGTTTTCCGATGATTTGCATGCATTGTTATGTTCATCATTCATATTTAGGATTACTTTCAATGAAGAATCTTTCGTTTAGTTATATACATGTTTATGTAGTTTTACCATTTAGATTAACATATCTACAACATTGAATGTGTTCACACTTTTCACATGAAACTTGGCATTGTGTCCGATTTTGTAGTCAATCTTGGTGTTTCTTAAACATTATAATTATAATACTCTCTTCATACGGAATCTCATAAAAGCCAGATAAAAACAAAAAGCTACGATCACTTAATGATTCAAATACTGTCAGAACTATATTTCTATCCACTTAATGATTCAAATACTGTCAGAACTATATTTCTATCCACTTAATGATTTAAATACTGTCAGAACTATATTTCTATCCACTTAATGATTCAAATACTGTCAGAACTATATTTCTATCCACTTAATGATTTAAATACTGTCAGAACTATATTTCTATCCACTTAATGATTCAAATACTGTCAGAACTATATTTCTATCCACTTAATGATTCAAATACTGTCAGAACTATATTTCTTTCCACTTAATGATTTAAATACTGTCAGAACTATATTTCTATCCACTTAATGATTCAAATACTGTCAGAACTATATTTCTATCCACGTAATGATTTAAATACTGTCAGAACTATATTTCTTTCCACTTAATGATTTAAATACTGTCAGAACTATATTTCTATCCACGTAATGATTCAAATACTGTCAGAACTATATTTCTATCCACGTAATGATTCAAATACTGTCAGAACTATATTTCTTTCCACTTAATGATTTAAATACTGTCAGAACTATATTTCTATCCACTTAATGATTCAAATACTGTCAGAACTATATTTCTTTCCACTTAATGATTTAAATACTGTCAGAACTATATTTCTATCCACTCCACTTCATGGCAACAAGGGTTGTTTGAAAAATAGTAGTTTAACAGTGTACGGTATTGCCAAACACAGTGTTAAACAAAATTTAAAACTGTTTTTGAACTCCGACTTAACTTAAGCACATATAACCTGGCCATATTGTGAGTCTTATCCCCGCAATCTGTTTAATCGAACTTATTACATGTACTTAAAAAACTCGTGTGTTCATAATTATATTCATGTCTTTTTGTTACTATACAGAATGAGTAAATTGAGTTAAAAGATTTATGTTTCATTAGAAACACTACATGTCCTAAATAATTTATTAATAATATTGCAATGAAATTAGTACAGGTTTTTTGTCATTATTTCATAAGAAGTAAATTCTTTACTTATACGAGACATTGTTCTTAAAAGAGAAATATAAATATCTGAACTGTTTAAAATGTAACTTACCTAGCAATATGGATGTGTAAAGGATAATTAAGAAACACGTTATCAAAAACATGGTAGCAAATCAACTTTATAAGATTTGTAAAGAAAATCACAAAACAGTCAATGCGAGACAGAACAAAAAAGGTGATTAAATCTTGATTACAAAATATCTCACACTTGTTAATTATTGATGCGGATGTAAAAACGGATGTCATCATATTGTTTCAATAGCTACACAGCTATTTCAATGATTCACATCGGTTTGAAAGTCAACAATAAACATTATCATCATAACGAGTGTCTGACTATTTAAGTGTATTCTTTTAAATTCATAAAATAATTTGCAGTTCGGCAGATATCTGTCTTTTGCTATTATAAACATAAATATACATATGACAAACACACAATGATGTAAAATCACAAAAGAATATTATATCATACTGTATTGAAATAATATTAGAAATAGCAAAACATATATTGTGTTTGGTTTAAACAGTATTTATTTCATATAATGCAAACAATTACAATTATGGTACAAGAACATAATATAAGACAGGATTGAATAGGAAGTCAAAGACTTATGTAGATATCTTTTCCTGGAAATTGTAAAAGTATATTAAATTATAATGTTACAGCACGTACAAGTACAGTAGTTACTAACATGAAATAATTACATAATTACACATAGAAATAGTGAAATAAGTAATGAAAATACAACAAACGAAAAAAGTGAAAATATAAACTAATGTTCGATCATATTTAATTGTTTAATTAAAGGGTACGGGAGAGAGAAAAATGCTCGGTTTTAAGTCTAAACAACTATTTTCTACTTAATGAAGTTGAATCTATAAACAATCAAGGATTGTAGTAAAATAGAAAAGAAGAAGTATAGATAGAAGGATAGTTCTAGAACTCAGAGAGCGAGGTGTGGCCATTGTCATTAAGAGAGTGATAGGTCAGTTATAAAAAATGGAATTTTTGCTTACGTGTCAACATATGTTTTTGTTGTTGTTTTTATCAGGAGAATTTTAAATACATCCTGGATATAAGACCAAGTGTCTTATTATCATTACATAAGAGGCAAAGTATAAATCATGATGATATTGTAAAAAATTTTTAAAGGAATGCTGAATTATAAAAGTACGTGATAACTTACGTAAAAACACTAGTAATGTTTTTGTTAAGCATATAAAGAGTTAGGAAAGACGAAACCGCTGTGTGCTAGTGATATAGTAATGTACAAGGTTAAATATGTTGGCATTTGTTTCATCGCTGAGACCTCTGTGGCCAAAGAGTTTAGTTGACAATGTAACTGTTGTTATTTGTTGGAGCTGTTTTTTGAGAATGGTCCTCTGGCGGTAAAATTGATTATAATTTTTTCTAAAAAGTGACATGAATCTTCAATCTCACCGCACTGACAGAAGGGATCATCAATTATGTTTTCAGAAAAAAGATCTTCATTTAGAATGCTGCAATGAGTTCTAAGACGTGTGTGTAAGATTTGGGACTCACGGTTACCTGTACATGTACTCGTATAGACTCTGATTCCTTAAAGGTATATAGAATACAAAACATATTCCTTTTGTGATTTATAATTGATCATTTCTTCTATCAAATGCATTTCTCAAAAATTGTGCTTACATTACTTAGATTGTTGATTATTTGGATTATTTCTTCGTATTTATCATTTCTCGTGAAAATCTATGGAGGTTTGGAAAAGAATATGTCAATTAGAAATAGATTAAATTTTGATGAAAAAAAATATAATGATCTTCAAATACATTTTCTATTTTAACTAAAAAGCAATTGTAAAGTTATTAACACATAAAGATTAAATTATACTTGTACTATCAAAATCTGACGAGCACGTACAGGCTAATATAAAAACCACATGAAAATAATTTTCAGTGAATACATATACATAATTACTGTGTTAGCTAGTTTTCATGACAATAGGAAGTTAAATAAAATTTGTTCTCAATATGTTTAAAAAAATATTTGATTAGAAATATATCAAATATGATTAATTATGAAACAAATGAATAATTGTTTATGGTTATCTTTTTAAATTGTGTGGGTCCCTGTTACAGAAACGCTGTAAGTTGAGTTTCTTGAAATACTACCAAATAATCATACGTGTCTTTTAAAATATAATGTATACACAAATCGGATAGTAACTGTATAGATGATGTACATATTAATTTCTGTATAAGATGACAAATGAAGCTTCCTCTCATTGGTCTATATAAAGTTGTATAATGATGTTAATAGCCTAGCCAGTGGTGACAGGGGACACTAAACCCTAGAAAAATGGTATTTCAAAATCATATCAACTTGCTACAATGTCAATGCACCATATGTCTATATATATACAATTCTTAAAACATAAACTAATTATTTTGATTTTGTTAAATGTTGATATACAAGTCCTCGGGTTGGTTTTCCTTATTTAACATTTCGTAAAGCCCATCTTGATAAATTATGTAATTTTTGCGTGAACTTTGTCTTTCAAGAGTTGTATACTCGCTGCCAGAATCAACTTTATGTTGCAACATTTCATTAAACCCGTCAGTAGATTGTGCTGCTGCTGCTGCTGCTGCTACTTCATTATTTACATATATGTGATCTGATTGTTGTAATATTTCGTAATGAACAACGTGCGAATTGTTTACTTTTTCAGAGTCATCAGTTGAAGCCTGTTGTTTTCCGGGAGCCTTTTCAGTAGGTTCATGATATGCCTGATTGATATTATTACCATTTCTTTTCTTCCTGAATAAGACAAAACGATTATTCAAGAATAATTAATAACTATCCATTTTTGAAACTTATGAATATTTTCAAAACAAATAAGTTATGTCAATATATTTAAATTACATTCGACAATATTTGATAGGTTTTTGATTCAAGCGTTTAATATCTACTCTAAATAAATTCTACGTTTCACGTAGATCTATTCATAAATAACATATGAACATGTAAAAATAGTTTTGCTTTAAAAGTACATGCTATTTCATTACTTTTCCACAATTTTTACTTAATTCATATTCCTGTATGCAATATTACACAACTCAGTAATTGTAAAATGCATAATGAGATTATTGTCATATTGTTATAAAAGTGTGAACCGAGTTAAATGATCACGATTTTGATATTTTACACAAAACAAATGAAAAAAAAAACAGAAATGTTGTGATTTAGACAAGGTAAAATAAAATATTTAAAATGTCGACTCCTTTGTAAACGTTTTACGAACGGATTTCACATTGACTCTAGAAATGTTCTTTAATTTGAAAAAGAGGAAATGTCGCTGATAGAAATGTATCAATTCAGAGGAAGCCAAAGTATGTTTCTGAAACCAAACAACATATATGTTCAATGAATTAACCAAAATTCAATATAAGATAAAAAAAATCCATTGTTATATTCCGACCGGTCAAGAAAAAGAAAACGACAGAAAAAGCTGCTCGTTAACCCAACTAAACCGCATTTTTTGTTCGGTAGATGGTCAGAACAAAGTAACATTATATGATATGGAATGTAATATTAATACCGCTTCTTCATAAAGATAACAGCCAAGACTATGACAAAAATTGCAACCAAGGTCAGTATTACTGGTACAATAATGATGATTGATCCGCTTGACTTATCTGGAAAAGAAATATGTTTAAAAAAGCAATATAACAAAATATGCTATAATATTTTGCTTAAAGTACACAATCTTTTTTCCAGATATTTCATTATAATTGAAATAAAAGGATTGTGATAAATATTTGTCCGAAATATGCTCACCAAATTATAGGTTATTACATACAGAACTGAAAAACAGTAACTACCAAATATATATATATATATATATATATATATATATATATATATATATATATATATATATATATATATATATATATATATATATATATATATATATATATATATATATATATATATAATATATATATATATATATATGTAGATATATATATATATATATGCAAACAGCCCGGCAATGCTATTCCTTTAATGTCTATTATTTCGGGTGTCATAGACATTTCCAGCTTGAATTATATTATTGTCTAATCATTGTACACTGTAGTAAATATGACAAATTGTTTGATTCAGAAAAGGTGTTTACCTTCCGTTCTTGTTTGTGACTGGCCACGGTGCGTTGTTTTTATAGTCTGTGTTAAGCCATTACTAAATGAAGTGCCGGTAGGTACAAAGGTAGAGTTGTTTGATGCTGAAGTTACATGGTTTTGACTTGTTGAAATCATTGTTATTTTTGTCTTTGTTATAGTTTCCCTTTTGACTGTTGATGGCTTGAACATAGTCGTTGTTGCGTTTTCCTTGACGACTATTGAAAATATAAAATCTATCTTAAAGGGTATAAAGCTACCGATATATCTTATGATTTTTATTGAATTTATAAGTAGTACATTTATGTTGTTTTGATAATCTTGTGATTGATTTGACAAAAATGTCTCTCTTATTTGACAAACATAGTCATGATATGAAACGAAACAAAATAAAATGTTCCGAACAAAATTATATCCTTCTATTCAAGTGCAGCAATAAATTTTTGAATGCACGATTCGTTTATAAGCAAATGCACAAAATATTATACAGATCAATAAAATGTTTATTTAAATGACTATTAAAACATATATAACATATCTTTAGTATATATATTCTCAAAATGTTAGCAGCAATAATGTTACCAAATAGGGTATTTTGTACTTGACATTTTTTAAGAATTGTAAGTATAGCACGTTAACATACCTATAACTTTATATACGGATATTGCCCAACCTCCCCCACAAATTTCATTTTTGTTTCCTTTACAAGCATGTGTGCAATTGGAGGAATTTGTTTTCACCCTCTGTTTGTTTCCACAATAACACTCGCTTCCATACTGTAAGAAAAAATTGTACCTGAACTGATTATTAAAATGTCCACGTCGCCAAAAATGTTTGTTATAAAGGTAGACCACCCCTAACTGGCACTGTAAGTAACTGTATTATTGGCATTATAGGACAGTTATATGCCTTAAATGTCACCTGTATGCAAAGTTCCATGTGGTTTATGAGTTTTGAACATTTTTTCTGAAATAAAAATTTGCCATTAGAAGGGCTCTTTTTCAGAAATGAAGAAGCTCCATTATATTATCATGATGAAAAATGTTTTCCTACTGATCATTGTTTAGAAACAAGTAAAAACATTCAGGTTACAAATTACACGAGCAAAATTATTCTTTCTTAATAAAATAGTTTAAATATGTATAAAAATGTTACCCTACCCCGCCCACTTTAAACACTTTTTTGACCATTTCCCTATGTAAAAAACCTTACTCAAACTATCCCTAAAATTACTACAATGAGAGACTGTTTTCAAAGTTTCCAATTTTCTTAAAAGTAAATTGGTTGATCTTGCAAAATATTAGTCTTTATTTTCTTAAACTTTGAAAATAAATGGTACCATATTTGCTATTACATTTAGCAATAAATGTTTTCATATTTACATTAAAAAACCTTACTCAAACTATCCCTAAAATTACTACAATGAGAGACTGTTTTCAAAGTTTCCAATTTTCTTAAAAGTAAATTGGTTGATCTTGCAAAATATTAGTCTTTATTTTCTTAAATTTTGAAAATATATGGTACCATATTTGCTATTACATTTAGCATTATTAAGCAAATAAATGCCTACAATAATTATATAATTAAAATCAAACATTTTTTCTTTCATAAGGGATCTGAGAGATACTTAAAAATTGTTAAAAATAAACAGCCCCTTCTGGAGTTTGAACCAACGCCCCTCAGTTTCAATGCAGTTGACAGTGATCTAGCCTTTCAAAGTGGAGGAAATGCATAAGGGGTGTAGTGTATTCCTAAATAATTGACAATATTTTAGAAATTGTGTCGCCGTTTGATTGGTAGTATAAATAAATAATCAAGTTTGTAAGGATGTTATCATGTTTTGGTTACCTCAGTTCCTGCATATCGGTATCCATTTGTTTTACAGTACTGAATGCATTCTTCTCCACTGTTTGTCAATGAAAGGCGATATTTCTCTGTTAGAGTTCTATTCGACCAATCCTTAAAGCATCCGATGTACCCTTCCGGTGTAAAGGCTGCAGTTGAAAAAAAAAACATGTCATACTCGTCTCGTTATGTACTGAGTACCTAATTATAATGTCATTGTTTTATTTTCAGTAAATAATCAATTATCAACAGTTATTCAGTTCAGTATCATAATTGAATTACAGTGTTAAAGACGTTTGTTACAGTTTTCGTATAGTCATGTTGTACATATATAATATGCGGAATGATATTATTTTATTGGTTCTTTTCACATTTCATACTTATTCAGATCAGACTCAATAAAACTAAGAATGCGACATCAACTATCAAATTTTTTCCATTGCATCAGATGAATCTCATTTTTTCAGAAATTCAAAATAGAATCATTTAATCAAAAATGAGCGTCAGACCAAAACAACTTAACAAGAAATATTATTTACAACATATCGGCCTGGTTTTGTGGCATTGTACTCATCTGAGTATAAATGGCGAATGTACCGGTTAAAGTAAAAAATTACTTTAGGTAAACCACCCCTAATAGGCACTATAAAAAACTTTACAATTGACAAAATAGGACAGTTATATGCGTTAAAGGTCACCATTTACTGTTTGGTTTATGAATTATTGACAATATTCTGAGCTAAAACTTTGCTATCAGAAGGGCTCTTTTTCAGAAATGAGGACACTGTAAATAATCTATGCTATCATCATTATGAAATATGTTTTCATAAAACAAATAATAAAATTCAAGTTACAAATTACACGAGCAAAATGACTGATTCTAAAACTTATTTGACCATTTCCATATGTAAAAAGCTTTAATCAAAATATCCCCAAAATTTACTACAATGAGGGTCTGTTTTTCAAAGTTTGAATCTAAATAAGTTTGAAAGTATATTAGTCAATCTTGCAAAATATAAAATACTTTTATCGTGGAAATAATGGAAACTTTCAATAAATAAAAGTAAAACTAAAATAATTGTATTTGGATCGAATAAACCCGGTAATTTCCGTTTCTTTCTTAACAACGAACCACTTGAAATAATAAAGGAATATAAGTACTAAGGAGTGCTTTCCTCATCTTCAGGAAGTTTTAATAAATCAATGCATATACTTTATTAAACAATATTTAATCTTGATATCCCAAGTGATTTACAGTTGAAATTATGTGACCAAACTATTGTTCCTATACTTACTTTTAACTGCGAAGTTTTGGGATTCGAAAATCTAGATTTAATTGAAACGGTACACAATAACTTCCTTAAAACTATTACTAAAAGCAAAAAAGTACTCCATTATATAATGCTATACGGAGAGCTTGTGCGCTATCCAATGGACATAGTCATTAAATCGAGGATGGTAAATTATTGGTGTAAATGAGTTATGGGTGACAGAAATAAAATTTCTAAAGTATGTTTTGATATGATGGTCAATTCTTACACAAGTTATAAATGGTTACAGTGTATAAAACAATTTTTAAATAATACCAGTTACACATACATATGGGAAAACCAAATAAATATCAATCTTAAAAAGTTCAGTATGACAATAAAGCGTACATTAATTGACCAATTCTTGCAAAACTGGAATAGTTCATTTACAGGTTCCTCAAAAGGGTCTGATAATAATTTAATACTAAATCCGACAATAATTTCGAATAGTACAACAAAACATTACCTAATTATCTTAGATTGACCTTTTTCACTTATGAACAGGTAACCACAGGCTCCCTAAAGAAACAGACAGGTGGAGGCAGTCTTTTGTCCCTCATGCTGAACGAAAATGCCAACACTGTCAAGTAAACGATTTGGGAGATGAGTTTCATTATATTCTTTCCTAGCCTCTAGGAAACGTTACATAAAATCGTACTATTTCAATAGGCCAATTTCCTTAAATTTTCACAACTTATGTCTTCTAAGTCTACCAAGGAACTTAAAAATATCGCCCTTTTCTCAAAAGAGAAATAATGACAAGATTTAAAAGATAGTCCAAATAAACATAATGCAAGTGGTCCAATAAGTTAACCTTTCCCTTTCTTTTCGAAAAAAGTCGGCTGTAAATAGGAGAAACATTCTCCGCATAATACACGGGGGAGAATCACTAACATATACAAAAATATTTAATTTGGGAAAAGTTTAACTTTTGACTACGCTTTACAAACCACAAAAACTGGGATAGCTGCTCTATTTCGATTATGATATGCAAGAAAACATATCAATCGTAATTACGCTCTCCAATCGGATTAAGATATTTCTATCCGGACATATATTTTTATGCAAACACTAAATAATATTCAGTTTCTTTATTTGGTTCTAAACATCCTCTTATGTCTGGAAAGACCTGAGCAAGTAACATTTCTTTTCTATCTAAAATTAAGTGGTATGGAGAAAGTCCATTAAGCAGAAAAATGCGCCGTTCGTTATCATTTATATTTGTGCGCCATACGTTATCATTTCCAGAAAATGCCCCGATAGTAATATTTATAGCGGTTATTCTAGTCAGAATTAGCATGAATGCTTAGATGACGACATATTACAACTTTTTAAAGTCAGTAGTTTCAGTTAATATACATATATATTGACGGAACAGTGAATTTTAGAGAAAAAGCCGTACGTAACAACGATCAAACCGGCGGAAAATTCTCTCGCTTCGAATCTGGTGACCAGCATTTCAGAAGAAGTACGGGACAAAACATCATAAAATAAAATGCTGTGTGCCCAGAAAATTGTGGAGAAGGTTGTTATATACCTTTAGACTAGAACATTACGAATTTCAGAGAAAAAAGGGAAAAACATACTTTTTGGCTGCATCCGCCATCTTGTTTGTTTGGGTAACGAACGGCGTAATTCTCCCCCGTGTTAACTGCTGAAGTTTTATTGAAATAACTGATCACCATTGTAAGATGACGTGCAGAGCGCAACAATTTAAGGAACATGTTTAAAAGTTTACATTCATTTCGTGCCCGCTCCATAACTTTTAAACCGCTGTTGTTTTTAAAAAAATTGATCACCGTTATAAGAACATGTGTATACAATTCGTGCCCGCTCCATAACTTTTAAACTGCTGAAAAAATTGAAATAACTTGGCGCGAGTAAATACCATAATGAGACGATGTGCAGAGCGCAATAATTGAATTGCTACACCCAAGGTCAAGGGCACACTTGCAGGTCAAATGTTAGAAAGGCTTTATTTTGTGTCTATCCATAACATTTAAACCGCTGCAATGTTTTAAAGATAACTTTGCAGATATGATAACAATTATGATACCATTGGCAGAGCACAATAATCAAGTCACAATCCTGAAGGTGAGGGTGACCTTCAAAGGTCAAATGTAAAAAAAAAACATCTATTTTTTCATGTCCTCTCTGTAACTTATTGACAATTCAAAGGTTTTTTATTTACTTGGCACAAATGATTACCACCATGATACAATCTGCAGTTCAACATTCAGGTTGCTATCCCCAAGGTCAAGGTTGTATTTTCTCAATAACTCTTTACTTAATGGAAGATTTTAAATATCACGGCACAAGTAATGACCATCATGAGACTATGCGCTTATGATATGCATGGCATAACATCAAGGTCGAGGCTGGTAAAGGGTCAAGAAGTACACATTTATGTTCACTGCGGAAGAGAATTTAGCTGTCCTTCAGACTGCCTTGTTTATTATTATATACTATTATTTTAGTGTCTAGTTGGAAAGGACTGTTGATTAAGGATCAGTTATTATTCTATGAATACCATTCAACCTCGCAACATGAGAATAACGAGGGACATTGACTTTAAACCAAGCCGACCACTAGTAAAATCTTCGCCCTGCTGGGGAAACGCAGATAATAACATTCCTGCATTATTCCCCCTAACAGCGCAAACGTCAAAACGCGATTCTTTTTTAACCCGCACTTCCCCAGGGGCAAAGGCGGTGGTTACAAATGACTGGTGTATTACAATAATGCGCAAAGATCAAAATAGGTCCTCATAATCCCACTGGTTTAGGAAAAATTGCTTAATGCTTTGAAGGACTTTTATAAAACTTGGATCAATTGCTTACCAAATTCAGATAATATGTATGCCAGGTGTGACAGCTCAAGGTCGGGGTCACACCTACAGGTCAAAGGTTTTGAGACTTGGATTTTGTGTCCACTCCTTATCTCCTTAACCCCATGAAGGATTTTCATGCACCTTGTCTCAAATGTCAACCTCATCAAGATCATATGCAGAACTTTTCTTGGGGTTACCGCGGACAATATATATATACTAAATAATGGTGTTATTTTTTGAAACCTCCTAAAATTAAAAAGTTTGTATCTGCAAATGGCGGTTTGCAAAAGGGTACTTTAATTTACAAATGGTGAAGAGTTTGGAAATGGGGTTTTACAAATGGCGTAACTATCCAAACCTCTGCTTTACAAATGGCGTCATGTTTACAAATGGTGTATCCAAACACCTATTTTCAATTATCGGCTGTTATTAGATGTAACGGCTGTTTTGATTGTCTACGAAATATGTACGAAAAACAAAAGTATAATATGTACGAAGAAGTAATGCAACCTAAAAGAAATGTTTGCAAAACTAAAACAAATACGTACGAAAAACTAAAATAAAATATGTATGCAAACTAAAATAAAATATGTATGAAAAACTAAAAGAAAATGTGTACTAAAAACAAAATATACTCGTATATATAAAAAAAATACGCCTGCAAAAAAAAAACAAATATAAGTATGAAAAATTTAAAAAAAAAGAATTAAAAAATTAACTTTTGCATATGTCACTTTTATGCCAACGTATCTAAATGAAAAGTGTACAGTTATCTTAATTTCAGTTTGTTTATCGTCACTGGACGCTAAAATGTTGATAAATTTTATATTCAGCATGGCATAAATCAATTTCACCTTAAGACAAAGCAATAATTACTTCCATTAATCTTTGTGAGGAGCAAGTAATTGTTTTTCACATTATAAAAATAATTTTATAATAAAATGTGTGTCTTTTTGAAGACTGCTTTAAAAGAAAACATGTATTCATTCCTAGGGCATAGGCTTCCTTTTGTCGAAAAGTAACACTAGCGGAGTCACATTTAAATATCGCATGTCACTGAATATTATTTAAGATTATGGGGAATAGCACGAATGTTGACAATTGTAGCTTGATAAGGAAATTCGGGAGGTTGCAGAAAGAAGTTACAAAGTGGGAAATTATAAAAATCAAATTAACCTACGGGACAATTGAAGTCAAACTGTTCTTAAGTTACAACATGGTAACCGTTTTCTGTTTAATAGTCACCATTTTCTTACTCATAGCATAATTAAAAAATGAAAAGTAAAAATGTAACATGCCCGGCATTAGGTAGTATCCTTGAAGTCTTCAAATTTATATACAGCTATTCATTAGTTATCACATGATCACTAGTTTCCCTGTGGTATTAATTAATGCTTTCTAAACAAGCGCATAATACAATATATGATTTCTTCTTTGAAAGGTAATATGGAAAGCTAAATTAAAAGAATTATGTTTCAGGACTGCATAACCTTCATAGTGCCCAAGCATTAGTGAAAATATGTGTCTTGGACGCAAATTTTTTGATAATAACATTTTGATTAAAACTAGCATGCCTATTTCTAATACGAATAGCTAAAATATAACTTACCTTGCGATATTGATGTATGACTGATAATTAAGATACATATTAACAACAACATTATAATCTTGTGATTTGTATAACAAATAAAACACGAAGCATTCGTATAAAGAAAACTATAATTATAAAACTGAAATTTAATAATTAAAATCCTCCTGCACTTGTTGATTGTTGGTGCAGATGCAAAACGGATGTAAGCATATCTGTTTCAAGAGCTTTACAGCTATCTGAGTGATTCATACCAGTTTCAAGGTCAACAATGTTATACATCATTGAGTGACTTCCATTGGATAAGTTCAAAGCTGCTTAACTTTTGTTTGGACGATGTTTTGACCGTGGTTCTGCAATTGTGTACGAGTCCAATAGAACAAATTGTATCCATCAATGTATAATGACCAACTTTCACGCCACAATTTTTTAACACTGCATAAACTTGTTCCTTATTTGAAATGGCACTATTGGACTCTGAAAACGAGACTAGATAGGGTGCAATAATGTTTTATATATTATAGCATAAAATCGGCTATTTTTCCCTCTGTTTGCCTCTGTTGTTATAATGGAACCTAAACCATGTGTTAGCATAGTAACGCGCTCTTGTTATAGCCCGGTTTTACCTATGCGCTATACACACAGGGCCAAATAAACAAACAAAAAATGAAGATTTGGCATGTTTGCCAAAGAGTCATGCGCTCTTGTTATATTGAAATTTTTGATTGGAGGGCCACAATCGCTTAACGGCGAGCAGCATTCAAGTAACTATGCCGGATATACGGCGTATATACATCGCCGAAAATCTTGGTTGTCGCCCTTTCTAAGGAACGGACAGTTGTCTCTGTCATTCAGTTTAACTTACAAAACAAGATAACAAAAAATGAATGTGAGAAAATGTTGTTTTATTAATGTTTATATTGATAATTGCTCTTTATTTTTCTTTGAGAGAATAATGTTTAGTGCCTGATATAAACATGTGTGCTTGAAAAAAAACGTCTGACTGATGTCACTGATCTTTTTTCTACCGTCAATCTGAAATCATTCTAGGATTTCTGAGGGTCATGTTTTGTTTCGGGTACAGTAGAGTAGTTTAATGTTTTTTCTTGAGTTAATAAATCTTCAAATTTAAGCGTTGTTAAATAAAATAAAATAGGAAATTTTGTTCGGTTGAACCGTTCTGAAAATTTGTATTTCCCAAGTTGTTGGCCCCGGAAAAATAAAACGCATACGTAAAACATGTAGAATTGGATAAATACCGTCCAAGCAAAAGGATTTAATGTATGTGTTTTATATTAAATATACATCATGAATCTGTATTAAATTTTATGCTTTAATAGCGTCAAAGCACGTTTTTTTTTTCGTGTTATAAAGTCTGCAGAGTCCCTCGGAACTGTTGGAGCCCTCACACTACCGGGCTCGGACACAAACCGTTCCTTGGGACTCTGCAGACGTTATACCACGGAAATATGTGTGTTAACCCTATAGAGTTTTTACCTCGAAAAGCGAAAAGGAGGCCAAATTACTAAAATTGGATCCAGTAATAATTTACATTCACGTGGTACAAACGCTGATAATTCATTGGTTACATTTTATGAGGTGTGGAAAAAAGGACGCTATTATTGTCGAGTACCGTACTGATCGAGTTCTATTTGACGAGCACAAAGCTATCAACCAATTAAGCCTTGTGTATGTTTTGCAGCAATTTACGTACGAATTCAATACAATCAGTCGTGTATCTGCAATGTACATGTATAATGGCATTTTAATTTCACACCTTAAAATGTTGACAGACATTTGTTACTTTCAGTACAGTTAGGATATGTTATGGATTTCCTTGACTCTGAAAATGAAAACGAGGCTAAACATTAAAGCTCAATAGTGATTCCGAGGGATCACTCATTTTCCTAATTAATATGGATTTTTCTGGGAAAATGAAGATGAGTAGAATGTTGATTTGATATGATGTTTGGCAAAAAATGAGAACTATCGTAAATTGGAAGAGTTAAATTATGTAATGGTTGATGCAAAGCTGGAAATTTATCGGTGTGAAACAAAAATTATCATTAATAACAACATTCTATCATTAATCATTACATAAATGTAACGGTTATCTACCGTGTTTTAAATTTTTGTTGTAAACGAAGATTCAGATTTTCTTTAAATTTGATATTAAAGTGCTGTCAGTGTACACGATTTTCCATTAACGCCGATTCTTAAAACACAAATAGCCATTCAATTTTTCTTCCGACCCTCACAGTATTACCATTTGACTGTCCGTAGAGGCCGAACTTTTATCAAATTTTGATGAGTCAAACGGCAAAGTCCCTGCTCATTCCTGGCAGGAGGATTGGATTGCAAAGTAATGTTGAACATTGAATAGCTTCTTAACCTTTTAAAATGTCTAAAACTAGTTATGTATATAAGTATTTGCCTTTTAGTAGCTTAAATGCGCTACTCATCTACCATATTTGTCCCATTAGAGAAGAAGGGAAAAGGAAATCTTTCGACTGACGTTTTGCCGGGTCATTTCGGTGATGGCTGTTTATTATGCCTTATCCGTGTTAAGGCAATATTACCACCTGACGGCAAAAGTCGATGATTCGATTATGTTTTTATTGCCTATTGCCGGTGATACGCACCTAAAATGTGTATTTACGGATTTACACCTCATGGACTTGTGTGTCAATACACTTTAAACATTTTTAATATCTTCAATTGTCACGTTTATACTGTATAAAGTATATATACTACAGTTGACTCTCAATAAGTCAAAATCGCTTTACTCAAAATTCCGCGTTAGTCGAAGAATTTCTAAAGTCCCGTCAAATTTCCTTCTTTAACTTTGTATTTTAACTCCGCTTAGGTCAAATTTTGACTTACCGAGACTCCTGTTTAGTCGAAAAGAAAAAATTTGGTCCCGTCAATTAAAGTCCAACATATTTTCATCTCAATTAGTCGAAGTGTGAAAACAGCCGACTGATCAAAGGTCGGCGACATCAAGTTGAGATGTTGTCACTCGTGATCCACACGTTTCTTAGTAATTTTAATTGCCGGTCATCATGTATTATTAGCACGTTGTGAAAGTGGTTTTAATCGGTTTCAGGACTTAATTGGTTTTAACAGTTAGATAAGTAAATTAAGATTTAATTAATTTAATTGTGCCAGCCTAGGTATTGATGTGTGTTTTCAACGTAAATGACATTTTTATAATTAATTTTCCGTCATATTGCATACATTAATATGTACTTCCGGTTCACGATAGTTGCTACTTTCGTTTTCGTCCGATGATCAATTTACTTCAAACATTAGATAAATTGTTGTTGAAATAAATGTGTTATTGTGCTTTTATTGTAATGAATTATCATGAGTGCGTATTAAAAGCATGTGCATTACTGACGAATACTAACAAACTTGCATTTATGTCATTGCTACGAATGCTTGTGTTTATATTCCATTATTAATATACATGTATTAAATTTTGAATAATATATTTTTGTTCATTTATAATTTGTATTTGTAAGTGAATTACAGTCATTTCGACGGTTAAATATTGCAGCTATCAACAATAACAAACCTACTTCTTTGCACATACAATCAGGTACGTGTATATATATGTACGAATGTCAACGTAATGACGACATATCCACATTACTCGAATTCCGTTTCTCTCGAAGTAAAATGCCCAGTCCCATGGACTTCGAGTTATCGAGTGTCAACTGTATATACATTTAATAGCACCCTTTTTAATAAATGTTCATGTAAAAATCCATATAAAACAGGCGTGCGTTTTCAAAGTCCGATACTATACATAGTTAATTCATCTCAACTTCACAGTGAAAAAATAAACATAATGCTACTTTAATTAAATTATCAGTGCAAAATTGATTATTTATTCAGATTTATCTATACATTTTTGACAACATGAGAGGCACTAAGACGAAAAAATATATATTTACTGTCATTTTTTAAAATGTGATACATGCAAGTTAAAGCAAATTATCAATCATAAGGGGATGAGTTAGATTTGTCGTTTTAAAGCATTTTTTACATGAGTTGGTTTATTGATGAATTGCGATGATAGAACCTAAAGCAAAACTTTAAAGCGCATGCATAGTATCTATGGTGCATTTATCAAAAGATCCGTCAATGTCACTCTTTTTCTCTTTGTTGATGTATCTTTTTTAGCATTCACAAATAACTATTGTTTTGTCTGTAATGTATTGTATACATTTTAGTTCCCTGTAAGCTAGTCAAATTCCGTTCAATGGTTTAAATGAAACTTGTATAGTTATCTTAACTGCGATTTCTTCATCGTCCCAGGATTAATGGGACTGGAAAATTAAAGGTTGATAAATATTATATTCAGCATGGCATAAATAAATTTTACCTTAAGACAAAGCAGTAATTACTTCCACTCCTCTTTGTGAGTAAGTCGTTACTTTTTACATAATAAAACAAAATTTAAAAAAAGGTTGAAGCTTTTAGGACTGCTTTTAAAGAATATGCCTAGAGCATAGTGTACATTTTATTTTACGAGTTATTTGCTTCGCAAAGTAACACTGGCGGAGTCACATTCAAAGATCACATGTTACTGAATATTATTTAAGGTTATGGGGAAATTTGAAATTTGGTTAGGACAATTTGTAGTAATTTTTATATCTTTATAAATCGATGTTTATTTGTGTTTCAAACACTTAAATCAATTACAAATGTATGTACTTACAATATTTAAAGTAAATATACCAATTCAGTAAAATACTTAAAATTATTTGCTCCCTTGATAAATATTAAACAAATAATTGTTCAAATCAATAGAAAACACAAATCAATAGAGATTCGTTACCACACAAAAACTATATATTAACTATCAAAATGCCGGGACAATTTAAAATGTGATGGCATTTATTCAATAGCAATGTCTTGATTGATAAAACAAACTGACCTTGAGGGCGACAAAATGGGAAATTGGAAATATAACCTAGGTCTGCACATGGATTGTTAAGGTTGTGAAAGTGGTTTGTGTAAGAGCGATTTAAGTCACCCGTATAAAATAAGAATTATAACATTAATCTTTAATCAAAGCACGAATGCAGACAATTGTAGCTTGATAAGGAAATTTAGGAGGTTGCAAGTGAGAAAATTAAAAAAAAACAAATTAACGTACATGATTTAAGTATGACAATTAAGATCAAACTGTTCTTTAATAACAACATGGTAACCGTTTTCTGTTCAATAGTCACGATTTTCTTACACATGGCATTAAAAATGAAAAGGATTAATGTAACATACTCGGGATGAGATAGTTTCCTTGAAGTCTTCAAATTTATATACAGCTATTCAATAGTTATCACATGATCACTAGTTTCTCTATGGTATTAGTTAATGCTTACTAAACAACCGCATAATATACAACTATACGTATGATATTATACGTACGAGTCATTGTCGACAAAAAACTATATCAAACATCAGCGCAACATTAAAGAAAGATAAATGTATTTCAATAAAAAGTGTTATTATAATGACTGTAGTGATATTATATATTTATTATAATGTTTACAAAATGCTGCATGGTTTTGAAAAAAAAATAATCAATTTTCTTTTTCAGGTGAATGTCAAACATCAGTATTTGGCAACAATAAAAACAAAATAAACATAGCTTTCTTTTAACACAATTGAACCTTACATTAACACCTTGAAATGAAACACTGTTTTACATATTTTGAATTGTATGCATTAAAATCTGTTAACATGGTATGTACTCTCAATATATACATTCATATAGAATACACTACTTCTTTTGGTCTTGTTTTACTTTACTGTACAAGACCTCGGGTTGATTTTTCTTTCTTAACGCTTCGTAAAGTCCATTTGGATATGTCTTGTTGTTTGCACCTGTTTTATGTACATCAATTGTTGTATATTCGCCAGAAGGATCTACGTTATGCTGCAACAATTCATACGCATCATCAGTCGATTGTGCGGCTACTTCATAATCTGCATCAGGTTGTTGTCTCTTGTTCTTTACAATGTGTGGTTTGACAGGCTCTTTGATAAACGCATGGTTTGTCGTCTGTGAAGCTAACTCACTAGGTTCGTGATATTCATGGTATATATCATCGCTTTTTCTTTGCCGTCTGTATTGAACAAAATGATAATAGCAAAATTGAATTACACATAGAAAGAGTTGAATGAAATTCAGCTATTGTTTGAGGAGGGTTACCCCTCTTTAATGCAATGGTCAAATGGAAACTTGAAAGATTGTCCAACACAGCAAATTAAAACTCTTAAAGTCAGTGTTGTTACTTTGTATTATTTTCAAAAAATCTTTAGCCAAACGATAAAGGCATATCATATTTTAAATGAAAGTGTAAAATATATGGAAAACGTTGCCTCTCTAAAACAATGACAGCAAGAGAAAAAGGAAAACATTACAGACTGGTTCTAGTCTGTTGATGAGTAATAATGAAATGGATAACATCTCCACAACCCTAGCACTTAAGCTGTATTCAATTATGCAAAGTTTGCCTTGATATCTTCCGAAAATGATTAAGATGATCAAAGATTAGATGTACCGACAAACTGATTCTTATTTTCTTAAGTATTGCTAAAGCATTAGTATTTATGTTTATATCTTAATTAAGATTCAAACTTCTAAAAATTACAATGTACGAAATAAAATGTATTTATCTTTCATAGGAAAGGTTTTCAACCTATTCGACTAGGAGGTTAAAGAACGACCAGTATATTTACACTGTAGTAATTTTCTCTCAAATCTCAAATGGAAATAAACACGCTTGTTTACCTCTTCTTGATAACAACCAAAGTGATAACTATGCCAACAATTGCTGACAGCGTTATTAATACTGGTACAGCAATGATGGTTGATCCGCTTGACTTATCTGAAGAAGAAGAAGTGTTAAACATAAACATGAACAAACCATGGTGACATTTATAATCTATGCTAAAAGAATTTTTTTTCCATTATTTCTTAATTCACTTATAACTATCTTTTTCTCAAATGTTTTAATGAAATTTTATTTCTTTCGACTAAGGTGGCACAACTATGGTCAATAATATTGAATGTTCATATGGCAAATATTTAGCGATTATGCCTTGATATAGGTTGGACAAGTTTTTATGTCAATAAGTTCCGGAACTTTGTCATATGTTATATGAATTAATATAATATCAAATCATAATTTACATGTCGAATATAATGATGACTGTAAGCTGAAAACTTTTAAGATTTACGTCCATATAAGAATGAAGAAATACACGATTCAATATCATGTTGGATTTTAGTTCCGGGAAGTTTTAGTAAAAGTGTTATGGGATAATTTGCCAAAATCTATTTACTTTTAAGTAAAGTTGCTGCAACTGAGTGATGTTATAACTAGAATTGGGGCAACAGTTATGACCATAGATATACTGACTTTAAATCAATATAGGCAGATTGAACAATAATTCAAACAATAATCCAAAGTCCTTTATGCCAATGAGTTAATTACCCTTTCAAATGTGGTAAAAACTGTAGAAAGAAATATTGCTTTTGAAATTAACCTTTTGTTATGTGGTTCTTTTTATTACCTTCTGTCACTTCATTTACGTTTACTGTTGAATGTCCGGCATCATCTGTTGCAGCTTCTCCACTTGTTTCTGTCTCGATTTTCTGAGTAACATGTACTTGTGTTGTAAATTTTAGTGTAGATAGAAGTGTTGTTTCTGTTATTTCTGTGAAACGTAAGTAACAATACTATGGGTTTCGTGATGTTTTGTTGATGAAAGTAAATAATTAATCCGATCATGATAGCAATGACAGTGTACTCAGTGTGCAAGTATCAACTACAATTGAAGTTTTCAGTGGCGTCCATAACCATAAAAATTCATAAATATATTTGTTACTATCTATTATGTAATGTTGTTGATAAAGCCATTTTGTATAGGAATTAAAGTTTGAAACAAAGTTTTTCTATTTATTATTTATTAAAAGATGTGCTTTTTTCTTACGTACCATATAAACCCTTGTATCATAGTTTGGGGACCTTTCTGTTGAAAAAGTGTCAGAGTTAAATCGTATACATATACATGCACAGTGCGGTAACTTGAGTGCAGGTATCAGTTACCCGCACTCCAGACCATGCCCGTTGATTGGCTCATTTTTGCTGGGGTTTACATATTGTGGCGGCAGAGAAAGGGAAAGCGGCAGAAATATCATATTCAGATGCTCGATCATTGGTTACTTTTTCCTGGGGTTTAAAATTGTTACAAGAGGGAACGTGTTTTTATGTTTGACTATGATACAAAAGAGAAAGAACACCAAAACACTCGGCAATCTGATTTATACTCGGGGGCTACGCCCCCTCGTACAAATCAGATAGCCTCGTGTTTCGGTGCTCTTTCTATTGCATGTTATTGATAATCAGGCTTACAGATTTCAGTTAATATACTTACCTGTAAAATCATATCAAAAATGGTAATTACCTTTGTGGCAGTCACTCTGTGTACAAATACAACTATATGTGTGTGCATCAAGATCGTCGCATACATGCCCGGGGTCGCATGGGTTCGTAGCGCATTCTTGTAAAAAATGTAATCATCAGTATATGAAATGAATATTAGTATATAAGTATATATTAAACTAAGCAGTTGCATTTTTATAGAAATTGTGTCAAGTATTACAATGATACCTATTAGTATATTGATCATGATGCTATTTTAAATTCCTTTTGTGTTGTTTTTGTTTTGTTGCTGCTGTTATTGTTGTTGTTGTTGTTGATGTTGTATTTTCATATATGGTTTATTGTGACACACCATATACATATAGGTGTGGTAGAACTACGGTAAATAAAGCTAATTTTCTTCCAGTGAAGTGGAGTAATGGAAATATCGAAATAAATTTTAATTTCAGAACGTAGCAAAGTCCAAACAAAGTTATCTGATATAATACTAGTAGTATGCTTACGCCAGGTGTCATAAACTGATATTTCTGAAATTCCACCACAGAACTCATCAAGTCGACCTGGGCAACGTTCATAACAACCAACAGCCAACTGTTTCTTTCTTATTGTATCGCCACAATAACAATCAAAGCCCGCCTATAATAATAATAAATTGTATAAAAAGAGATATTTTTTATTATGAGGAATGGCGAATGTAGTCCCGACAATATCCAGTCGCATAAGTCACGTTAAGGCAACTAGTAAGTCACAGAACTTGGGATATTGGAAAGACCTCAAAAGAATGAGAATAGATAGAAAAATTCCAAGAACAACTAAACAAAACAAGGCAATCTCATAAAAAATTTTAGGACATTAATTATGATTTTATTAATGAAAAATGTAGGTATTTTTAGAGTATTATTCAATAACCACGAATTATTTCATACATTGTTTAAATGGTTTAGTATTACGGCGTTTGTAATCTTACATTCTTTATACTAGTATCAGATAACTTTTAAGTCTAGAGTAACAAGAAAAACTTAAGACGTTGTACATGAAAGCATGTCCAATTCATTGTTCATAACTTTGTGTTTTCATGAGAAATCGATTCTAATGAATGAAATTCAATATCTAGTTACAGAACACAAACCTTCGTTCCAGCATATCTGAATCCCGCTGACAGGCAATATTCCTTACATGCTTTACCACTGTTTCTTATTAATTTCTGAAAGGTTCCTCTTAGTATCCTGATGTCGAATCCATCTTGAAAACATCCAAGATAGCCCGGTGATGTGTATGCTGAAACATTAAGATGCTTGTTATCTCAAAGATTATTTGTATTATTTCATGTTATATACAATAACAATTTTTAAACTATCAATTATGTATTTTTCGGTTCAACAAATGCTTCTGACGTAGATTTTCATCCCAACTTGCACGTGTTCTTTAGCATCACGTCTAGGCAATGGAACGAAAAGTAAGATATAAATTGCATGGTTTTCTTTAAATATAGGAATCTTGTTGCATGCAAAGCTTGATAGATGCCAACTTGTTGATGCAAAAAAAAACGAACGGTTGATTAAAATTGTAAACGATGTTTTGAGAAGTTAACTTATTGCAGGAAATGTACTTTAAAGTTGAAGCTGGCATTAATTGTGATGGTGTGTTGAAAAAATTTAACATTTGTGTTTCAGTGAATTACGAGTATTTCATTGTCAAAATGTGAAATGATGAAATTTTATAACAAGCCATTCTACGTAGTTGTTCAACGGTATTTTTGTATATGTATTTATGTTGAATGCACAGTTATACTTAGTTTGCAATATTTTTTTGGGGGTGGGGATCAAAACACATATATATAAAATTTCATATATTGCATATATTTATTGCAAATATACCTACAAATAAAAGAAAACTAGAACTGTGTCCAAAGGACACGGATGCCCCCACTGACAACATTTATATGGTATATAGTGAAAAAATCAACAAAGGGCCATAATTCTGTTAAATTTGGTCGCAGCAAAAATGCCTTCCTTCACTACCAACTACACATTAAGGTTGTTCATCCCTGGAAGTTTAAGCAAAATCTGCCATCTGGTTTAAGAGGAGTTGCGTTCACAAAATTTCTACATAGTATATAGTGAAAAAATCAACAAAGGGCCATAATTCTGTTAAATTTGGTCGCAGCGAAAATTCATTCCTTTGCTGCCATCTACACATTAAGGTTGTTCATCCCTGGAAGTTTAAGCAAAATCTGCCATCCGGTTTAAGAGGAGTTGCGTTCACAAACTTTGTATATAGTATATAGTGAAAAAATCAACAAAGGGCCATAATTCTGTTAAATTTGGTCGCAGCAAAAATTCCTTCCTTCACTACCATCTACACATTAAGGTTGTTCATCCCTGAAAGTTTAAGCAAAATCTGCCATCCGGTTTAAGAGGAGGTGCGTTCACAAAATTTTTATATGGTATATAGTGAAAAAATCAACAAAGGGCCATAATTCTGTTGAATTTAGTCGCAGCAAAAATTCCTTCCTTTATTGCCATCTACACATTAAGGTTGTTCATCCCTGGAAGTTTAAGCAAAATCTGCCATCCGGTTTTAGACGAGTTGCGTTCACAAAATTTCTACATAGTATATAGTGAAACAATCAACAAAGGGCCATAATTCTGTTAAATTTGGTCGCAGCGAAAATTCCTTCCTTTACTACCATCTACACATTAAGGTTGTTCATCCCTGAAAGTTTACGCAAAATCTGCCATCCGGTTTGAGAGGAGTTGCGTTCACAAGATTTCGGGACGTACGGACAGACGGACGGACGGACGGACGTACATACGGACGGACGGACAAGTGCAACGCTATATGCTCCCACTCTGTGGGGGCATAAAAACTGCAGTTATAACTTGTATGTTTATTATTTTGAAGGAAATTAGTTAGCAATTAATCTATTTATTTCCAGTTCTCGATACTGTTATATGATATGACAGGAAACAATGTTTCACGAGGATTCAAATCCCACAAAGGATTACCCCATTAATTTACACGAAGCAATGCGAACTTGAATTGAGAAACTTTTAGCGAAAGCCACGGTTTGGTAGTTCTGAAGAAGCAGGTCATGCTTGACATTTGCAGATGTCATTATCATTCGTAAAAATACTGTTACACAGCTCTGTTTCTTGTATATCAAACATTCATTATCATTGAATTATGAATCTTGGTCCAATTTTCAGAAATTCTGAGGAAAATATACCATGACTCATGAAGACATTGTTCATACGAATGACTGTTATAAATTTCAAACATAGTTTTTATCTAAAATATTTGGCATCATAATGAATCTTACTAAAATTCAAAGGAAAAATATTGAATACGAGTAAAATAATAAATCAAACAAAAATATGAATAAAAATCAACTACCTTGCAAGCCTGCTAAACATAATAGCGCATAAAAGTAACTAAAGTACATAGACATGTTGAAGTCACTATTGTATTTATGATTTATACTCTGAACATTGAAAGGTTCACTAAGCGATCATCTTTAAAAGCGGAAATGACCGAGGTTATCTTGTTTAACTTTAATAATTGGAGACCTAGCACGGAGGAGTATAGATTATGATGGTGTACATAATTGGACACATTTGTACATTTCAGGAAAGACAATTGATGCTTATCAAAATTTGATACAAGTTCAGATCATTTGTCCAACACCACCCTCTATACCCCTGTCCTGCAGCCTTGTCGTACATATGCCAAACAACATACATCTTAAAGTAAAAAAACGACGAAGACTAAAGACTCGTTCGAGTGTATATTACTTTAGATCTTTGCGTCTAACCCTATCATTCAATCCAATAAAAGAAATATTAGTAAAGTAATGTTTCAAGAAAAGCGCACAACTTGTCAGATTAACAGTTCATATATTATTCATAACTGAAATTGGATCAAACATTCTGATATAAATAGTTATACAATGTATCTCGTCAAACATGTTTGTTTCTATCTTGGGCTGGCAATCGTCTGCAATCAAGTCCTAAAGATTTCTAAGACGAATTCAAAAAGTTAACTCTTATATCACCAAATAAAGAGAAGAAAAGTGTAAAACAAATATCATCAGAATAGGCATTTAATACATTAAAATCTTAACTAAAATGTTACTGTTCTTACTTAAATGTTTTATTTAAATTAAGATCAGTTTTTAGATATTTGAGCCGCGTCATGACAAAACCAACATAATGGGTTTGAGACCAGCATGGATCCAGACCAGCCTGCGCATCCGCGCAGTCTGATCAGGATCCATGCTGTCCGCTATCAGTTTCTCTACTTGCTAAAGGGTTTGTAAGCAAACAGCATGGATCCTGATCAGACTGCGCGGCTGCGCAGGCTGGTCTGGATCCATGCTGGTCACAAACCCATTATGTTGGTTTTGTCGTGACGCGGCTCATTTGTTTTACGACGTGTGCTATCCATTTGCAACAGTAGTAAATATATTGCGGAACCCCATTTTGTTCATTAATTTGTTTCAACAATGATTTAATTCCTGTCATCGTGCAAAGTTTAAGAAAAGTCTATGCACAGTGAAATTTGTGTAGGCTTTGTGAATTTTAATTAAGCGGGCTGCTAGTCTTTGAAACATAATCAAATGAAGAAGATACGAGCTTTGTAAACAAATTACAAAATAAACTGACTAAGATCATATATTATTATCATCCTTATTTAATCTATCTATTGTGCCCACAAAAAGATAAAAAGATGAAGATGAGATCAATTAGAAAAGTGACTCGGTATATACATGTTAAACTGTTACATATGAACTAATTCGAATTGTCAATTTGGCGGGACGAATAGTCAATAATATAGGACGAATCCTCAATTAAGTGGGACGAATCATCACAAGAGTGGCGAATCGTTAATTGCCAAATTATGATATTTACGGGCATACTGCCCTTAAGAGAAGACCATATTTCCCATCTTCCCAAGAACCTCCTCCCGAAAGTAAAATAATGTAAAAAGGGAATCCGCCCAATGTTAAAAAACATTTCTATAAAGTGTTTGTCCTTGAAAATTAGATGTCAGCTCTTTGAGGAAAATGTCAAAAACAAATGACACAAAACTGCGGAAGGCAATACATCATAGGAGGAGCGAGAGCGCGAAATGGGCCCGGGGCTTTGACGTGCCCGGCTATAGATTGCATCTAAATATTTGAGAAGAAATCAAATAAGAAAAAAAATATATATATATATATATATATAGATTTCTATACCTATCAGTAAAATTTTTTAGTGTAATGTCTAGTTGGGCGCAGCCATTTCCAGTGTAACTCAATGATAATAGGCGGAGTACTCCGATAACTGAACAATAGCAACTTTTCGGGTTGATAATAATCGTCGAGCTGTTCCAAGTGGAAACGGAAGCGGTGTATGAAATACCAAATGTCACCTATAAAACAGAATATGTAAAGTAAAAAATGAACGACTTCCCCGTTTATAGGCTTTAGTTTGGGGGTCCTCTTGGACCCTTTGCCACTTGTTCTTGTTGCTGGGTCATGTGGGGTCAGCGTTCATTGAACGCCACCTTTCCCTGTTGATCTTGTTTATCGCATTTTATTTGCCTAATTTCATATCATCATAGATGGTTTTTTTTTAAATCATCACTTATATGATTTAGTAGACAAGAACATAAATGTTTACATTTGGCTACTTTAATTACAAATAACGTCAATTTAGCTCTACTTTTTTCAGGTAAAAAGCATCTTACATGCTCCCTGCGTCAAATAAACTGACTAAAATTCTTGAAAACAAAGAGAAAAAATATTCTTATCAGGTCAAAGCATCACGACTTGGAAGATAAATCTGCTATGTTTTCAATTATGTTATTAATTATCGCGATAAAGCAATGGAAAATACAAGACTTACTGCTACAAAGTTTAAAGTTGAGCATGTATTGTGATTGTTTGCTCTGACATACATTTTTTGTGTTTATTATAAACATTTTTTCAGGTTGTTCACCATATCGAATCAAAAACTACTGTTACAAATTTGTTACAATAAACTCATAGGTGGCAATTTTCCATTCTTGAACCTTTGGATGGTAAAAAGTGCACAAAGAGATTATATGTTATAAAAGTCCATGAACACATACAATTACCATTGTGGTAAAAGACAAGAGTACTTGAGTATTCATCGGATATAAACATTTCATACATCCTGTTCGTTTATGCATATTAATTGCTCACTATTTGATCAATATTTAATCACCAAGCAACGAAATTATATCCAGACTTTATATTCTGACCTCGTAATTGTTACAAATCTGTTATCAGGAATAAAGGTTCAAAACCATTATCATGATACGTAATACTTTAACATCTCTATGTATAGTAGATAATGTTCTAGAAAACATTTATCATTTATCAAATACATGTTCAAACTAATTACTAAGACTATTCTAAACATTTGTTTTTCAAACAATACTTCATAAGAATATCCAAATGATAGATTTCTATTGTTTGATCAGTAGTTGAAAATCTTTTGGAAAATGTATCCATTTTAGACCAATTCAAACATTTTCTTTTGTTAAAGATATAAGAATGACATGTCATCTTCTATAAGTTCACAAATAGTGTTCGAATACAACATCATTTGTTTTATTTGTTATACGTGTTTATATATATCCATATGGGGTTAAATGTCTTAATGATAAGTTTGATAAGTTTATTTCAATATTCCATTGGACCAAATGGTCCAGGAGGATAAACAGCCACATGATAAATGACAAGACAGTGTACACTAGTTGTAAAAAACGTGTGTAACTGAAAAAGGTATACACAAAGTTGTATATCATCATTGAAAAATAAATATCAGAACAAAAGGACATTCAACTTTAAACATAATGCTAAATAAATTACCACTGTCTCCATACTTTTTATTGAGTTAGTTTGACAAGATACATGTATATATGTATAAATATAATGCATCATATAAATTAATATTCATACTTGCTCGAGTATGTGTATGTTTTTCTTGTCGAGCCAGACGGGTAATATACACACTAAATTTCCCCGTTGGGTACCCAACGTACGTTGTACACAACATGCGCTGAGGTGATGCGCGTACGGTTCGATTTTACGCGGTGTAAATTCCGATTTAAAAAGCACTTTTTAACTGTCAAATGATAAATATTTACCAAAGTAGAGTAATGATACATATTACCATCAGTATCGAAAACAAATATGACCTTGTGAAAGCTTGATATTAATTACAAAAAAGTGCGTTCAATAGACTACTCCTTTCTCTTGTTTACATTCGTTAGGTACGGGAAAAATACGTCATGTATTTAAGTGACGTCATGTTGTGACGAAGAGGTACCCAAAAGGGAATCTTATTTCGACGTTTCATTTGAAACAGCAATGATTTTTTAGAAAATCGTCTAAACTTGGCAGGGGAAGGGTAATAAAATTATTATTTTGGTTTTGGAGTGATATATGTGGATATATTACCTGTCAAGATAAAATATCACCCTCGCCTAACGGCTCGGGTGATATAAAATCTTAACAGGTAATATATCCACATATATCACTCCAAAACCAAAATAACATATAATATATATGTATGTCATTAACATGTATAGCTGATGAACTAAACCGTTCACATATTCAAAATTTGTAAGCATAATCATTCAACTATATACATTTACATAAATATTATTGAACATATATATTCATTGAACTTAAGTGTTCACTTATTCAAAACAATGTTATAGGTTGAGACTATTCATGTTACAAAGCAAATCGATGAAAAAGTCTTATGGAACTTATCAATTATTTTTAACTAATAATATTGATGTAAGACCTTAATTTAAAAGCGCTGTTGTCATACAATATTCATACAGTGTAACTTCTGAAAACCGAACACCCATGGGACTTGTTAAAAAGTTCGGATTTCAGAAGTTTCCGGAATTCAGAGGTTAAGGATAATGTGGACACGACTAAGTCACTAAATGTGAAGGAAAATGTGGCCGTTACTGTAATATCATAAATAATAATCTTTTAATCAAGATAAAGATGTGAAGGAAAAGAAAACATTCGTATTTAACACTTTATTTAATACTTTATCATAATGATACTTATATTAAAACATACATATACAACAATTTTTTTGTAAATTAACAATGTTTATGCATGTTTGTTACATACTTGCATCTATTTCATAGGTAGCACATACATTTATAATGAATGTTTTACTGTAAATAAAAGGTAGCACATATAATGAATGTTTCATTATAAAATATACATTTATATAGGTATTTATTCATTTTAAATGTTGCTTTCAACGCTTGTCCAGTAATGATATTTTGAGCTTCTCTGATGTGAAAACAATTCCTAAATATATAAATTTGCTGACTATATCAAAACAACTTTCCTTGTAATAAAAATTAATTTCAGGTTGTATAATTAATTGTATGTGAATTTCTATTCTTGCTTTTCCATCTATCTCTTCCGACATATAGATTGTAAGCGTCCATCTTGGTTTAATACAAGTACAATACCGGTACCTTTTTAACATATTTCAAACACAGATTTAACAGACCAATGTACTGTAAGCAATATTAGTAGTTGCATAGTCAGTGCATAGTTTTTGCAATCTGAAAAATATTGAAATACATTCAACAGATGTGATATGAAAATGCATCTTCAACATTATAATGCAAATATAATAACTTAAATCTTCCAAAACCTGGTCCCGTATTCACTAAGAAAAGATCATAATCAGGATCAAACGGTCCTCATTTTATTTTAACTTTTTACAATCTAAAATTGATTGTATTTTGCGAGAATTGAATGGTACAAAACCACGATGTTAAATATTGCTGATTCGCAAAGAAGAAATTATTTTTGGGGATAAAATTTACGAACATTGGAACAAATCCAAAAATAATCGGATCAAAAAATCAATTTTAGGATCAAGATCAATATTTGGTTCAACTATACAATGCTCGTATCTTTTAAAACAACAGTTAACTTGTTCTAAATATATATATATAATATATAATTATAAACATGCAAATTCAAGTCCAATTTTATCAAGTTAATAAACATGATGAATACTTGAGTTTTTAAATTTGATCCTTATCGTGATCCTGAGTCGTAAATCTTAGTAAACCCGGGGCCTGACATTATACCGTTTTAAACATCTATCCAAAAGGTCACAAACATGTGATGTCATTTTTGGTTTGAATTCATAAGCTTTTACCAAGTGCATGTATATGTTATATAACATTACATTACACACACACGCGCGCGCACACACACACGCACGCACGCACGCACGCACACACACACACACACACACATACACACATACATACATACATACATACATACATACATACATACATACATACATAGGTAATTAAGCTAGCATTAGTTTTTAATATTTGTAAAAATTTGAGTTAAATAAATTGAGGAAAAACAAATACTTCATGTATAAATAGATAGACATATTATTTAAGCATAATTTCGAAATGCATAGCTTTGACAATGAGTCATGATATTTTTTCTCTCATAACCTTTATAACTGCATGTTTAGAGCCGTGGTAAGCAATCCGATTCCAACGGCTAGTATTAATTGTGAAAGGTGATTTAAAATATAAAGTATTCTAATTTTAAAAATATACTGTATTTCCCCTTTGGAAGGTTTTTGAAATATTTCTTTTATCCAAATGACTTTTAAATGGTGCATAAATTTTCCCACTGTTTAAGAACTGCATTAATTAGCTACTCAAATGCTGCTTATATTGATCTTGTAATTTTTCTTAACCATTATATTGGTACTCTTATTTACAATCTGGTTTCCCCGTATTTCATTGATATATTCAAATATCAGGCCTACCTAGAATATCTAGAATTTCTTTCATTTGAAACACCCATTTCCCGACCGGTTTGTAATTGCATACTAGTATTTTAAAGGAAAACAGTTTTCCATATAATCTTAATATAAGAGTAGTTCAGAAAGAAATATTTTTACATCGCTATTTGTAAGCAAAGGGTATATTATTTATGTAACATATACATTGGGGTACTTTAAGCTGCGATGAAATACGTATAAAGGACATGTATATAGATTTTCATATCTGAAGATTTTGACCCGCGTGTCAATATTGGTCCAACAGTTTGTTCGAATAACTTGAAGTGGTAAATCAGCATTATTAGAGTTTGTAAAGAGAAGACGAAAATAAATACACGTGTTGCCTGCTGTTAGAGTTTGTAAAGAGAAGACAAAAACAAAGACATGTGTTGCCTGCTGTTAGAATTTGTAAAAGAAAGAAACAAAACAAAGACATGTGTTGCCTGCTGTTAGAATTTGTAAAGAGAAGACGAAAATAAAGAAATGTGTTGCCTGTTGTTAGAGTTTGTAAAGGAAGACGAAAATAAAGACATGTGTTGCCTGCTGTTAGAGTTTGTAAAGAGAAGACGAAAATAATACATGTGTTGCTTGCTGTTAGAGTTTGTAAAGAGAAGACGAAAATAAAGACATGTGTTGCTTCCTTTTATAGTTTGTAAAGAGAAGACGAAAATAATACATGTGTTGCTTGCTGTTAGAGTTTGTAAAGAGAAGACGAAAATAAAGACATGTGTTGCTTGCTTTTATAGTTTGTAAAGAGAAGACGAAAATAATACATGTGTTGCTTGCTGTTAGAGTTTGTAAAGAGAAGACAAAAATAAAGAAATGTGTTGCCTGTTGTTAGAGTTTGTAAAGAGAAGACGAAAATAAAGACATGTGTTGCCTGCTGTTAGAGTTTGTAAAGAGAAGACGAAAATAAAGACATGTGTTGCTTGCTGTTAGAGTTTGTAAAGAGAACACGAAAATAAAGACATGTGTTGCCTGTTGTTAGAGTTTGTAAAGAGAAGACGAAAATAAAGACATGTGTTGCCTGCTGTTAGAGTTTGTAAAGAGAACACGAAAATAAAGACATGTGTTGCCTGTTGTTAGAGTTTGTAAAGAGAAGACGAAAATAAAGACATGTGTTGCTTGCTGTTAGAGTTTGTAAAGAGAAGACGAAAATAAAGACATGTGTGCTTGCTTTTATAGTTTTTATAAGTTTGTAAGAAAGACGAAAATAATACATGTGTTGCTTGCTTTAGAGTTTGTAAAGAGAAGACAAAATAAAGAAATGTGTTGCCTGTTGTTAGAGTTTGTAAAGAGAAGACGAAAATAAAGACATGTGTGTTGCTTGCTGTTAGAGTTTGTAAAGAGAAGACGAAAATAAAGACATGAGTTGCTTGCTTTTATAGTTTGTAAAGAGAAGACGAAAATAATACATGTGTTGCTTGCTGTTAGAGTTTGTAAAGAGAAGACAAAAATAAAGAAATGTGTTGCCTGTTGTTAGAGTTTGTAAAGAGAAGACGAAAATAAAGAATGTGTTGCCTGCTGTTAATAAAGACATGTGTTGCCTGCTGTTATTGAGTTTGTAAAGAGAAGACGAAAATAAAGACATGTGTTGCTTGCTGTTAGAGTTTGTAAAGAGAAGACGAAAATAATACATGTGTTGCTTGCTGTTAGAGTTTGTAAAGAGAAGACAAAAATAAAGAAATGTGTTGCCTGTTGTTAGAGTTTGTAAAGGAAGACGAAAATAAAGACATGTGTTGCTTGCTGTTAGAGTTTGTAAAGAGAAGACGAAAATAAAGACATGTGTTGCCTGCTGTTAGAGTTTGTAAAGATAACACGAAAATAAAGACATGTGTTGCCTGTTGTTAGAGTTTGTAAAGAGAAGACGAAAATAAAGACATGTGTTGCCTGCTGTTAGAGTTTGTAAAGAGAACACGAAAATAAAGACATGTGTTTGCCTGTTGTTAGAGTTTGTAAAGAGAAGACGAAAATAAACATGTTCTGCTGTAGACATGTGTTGCCTGCTGTTAGAGTTTGTAAAGAGAAGACGAAAATAAAGACATGTGTTGCCTGCTGTTAGAGTTTGTAAAGGAAGACGAAAATAAAGACATGTGTTGCCTGCTTGTTAGAGTTTGTAAAGAGAAGACGAAAATAAAGACATGTGTTGCCTGCTGTTAGAGTTTGTAAAGGAAGACGAAAATAAAGACATGTGTTGCCTGCTGTTAGAGTTTGTAAAGAGAAGACGAAAATAAAGACATGTGTTGCCTGCTGTTAGAGTTTGTAAAGGAAGACGAAAATAAAGACATGTGTTGCCTGTTGTTAGAGTTTGTAAAGAGAAGACGAAAATAAAGACATGTGTTGCCTGCTGTTTAGAGTTTGTAAAGAAGACGAAAATAAAGACATGTGTTGCCTGCTGTTAGAGTTTGTAAAGAGAAGACGAAAATAAAGACATGTGTTGCCTGTTGTTAGAGTTTTGTAAAGGAAGACGAAAATAAAGACATGTGTTGCCTGTTGTTAGAGTTTGTAAAGAGAAGACGAAAATAAAGACATGTGTTGCCTGCTGTTAGAGTTTGTAAAGAAACACGAAAATAAAGACATGTGTTGCCTGTTGTTAGAGTTTGTAAAGAGAAGACGAAAATAAAGACATGTGTTGCCTGCTGTTAGTGTTTGTAAAGGAAGACGAAAATAAAGACATGTGTTGCCTGCTGTTAGAGTTTGTAAAGAGAAGACGAAAATAAAGACATGTGTTGCCTGCTGTTAGAGTTTGTAAAGAGAAGACGAAAATAAAGACATGTGTTGCTTGCTGTTAGAGTTTGTAAAGAGAAGACGAAAATAAATACATGTGTTGCTTGCTGTTAGAGTTTGTAAAGAGAAGACGAAAATAAAGACATGTGTTGCCTGCTGTTAGAGTTTGTAAAGGAAGACAAAATAAAGACATGTGTTGCCTGCTGTTAGAGTTTGTAAAGAGAAGACGAAAATAAAGACATGTGTTGCTTGCTGTTAGAGTTTGTAAAGAGAAGACGAAAATAAAGACATGTGTTGCTTGCTGTTAGAGTTTGTAAAGAGAAGACGAAAATAAAGACATGTGTTGCCTGCTGTTAGAGTTTGTAAAGAGAAGACGAAAATAAAGACATGTGTTGCCTGCTGTTAGAGTTTGTAAAGGAAGACGAAAATAAAGACATGTGTTGCCTGCTGTTAGAGTTTGTAAAGAGAAGACGAAAATAAAGACATGTGTTGCTTGCTGTTAGAGTTTGTAAAGAGAAGACGAAAATAAAGACATGTGTTGCTTGCTGTTAGAGTTTGTAAAGAGAACACGAAAATAAAGACATGTGTTGCCTGCTGTTAGAGTTTGTAAAGAGAAGACGAAAATAAAGACATGTGTTGCTTGCTGTTAGAGTTTGTAAAGAGAACACGAAAATAAAGACATGTGTTGCCTGTTGTTAGAGTTTGTAAAGAGAAGACGAAAATAAAGACATGTGTTGCCTGCTGTTAGAGTTTGTAAAGAGAATACGAAAATAAAGACATGTGTTGCCTGCTGTTAGAGTTTGTAAAGAGAACACGAAAATAAAGACATGTGTTGCCTGTTGTTAGAGTTTGTAAAGGAAGACGAAAATAAAGACATGTGTTGCCTGCTGTTAGAGTTTGTAAAGAGAAGACGAAAATAAAGACAGGTGTTGCCTGCTGTTAGAGTTTGTAAAGAGAAGACAAAAATAAAGAAATGTGTTGCCTGTTGTTAGAGTTTGTAAAGAGAAGACGAAAATAAAGACATGTGTTGCCTGCTGTTGGAGTTTGTAAAGAGAAGACGAAAATAATACATGTGTTGCTTGCTGTTAGAGTTTGTAAAGAGAAGACGAAAATAAAGACATGTGTTGCCTGCTGTTAGAGTTTGTAAAGAGAAGACGAAAATAAAGACATGTGTTGCTTGCTGTTAGAGTTTGTAAAGAGAAGACGAAAATAAAGACATGTGTTGCCTGCTGTTAGAGTTTGTAAAGAGAAGACGAAAATAAAGACATGTGTTGCCTGCTGTTAGAGTTTGTAAAGAGAACACGAAAATAAAGACATGTGTTGCCTGTTGTTAGAGTTTGTAAAGGAAGACGAAAATAAAGACATGTGTTGCTTGCTTTTATAGTTTGTAAAGAGAAGACGAAAATAAAGACATGTGTTGCTTGCTGTTAGAGTTTGTAAAGAGAAGACGAAAATAAAGACATGTGTTGCCTGCTGTTAGAGTTTGTAAAGAGAAGACGAAAATAAATACATGTGTTGCTTGCTGTTAGAGTTTGTAAAGAGAACACGAAAATAAAGACATGTGTTGCCTGTTGTTAGAGTTTGTAAAGAGAAGACGAAAATAAAGACATGTGTTGCTTGCTGTTAGAGTTTGTAAAGAGAAGACTAAAATAAATACATGTGTTGCTTGCTGTTAGAGTTTGTAAAGGAAGACGAAAATAAAGACATGTGTTGCTTGCTGTTAGAGTTTGTAAAGAGAAGACGAAAATAAAGACATGTGTTGCCTGCTGTTAGAGTTTGTAAAGAGAAGACGAAAATAAAGACATGTGTTGCCTGCTGTTAGAGTTTGTAAAGGAAGACGAAAATAAAGACATGTGTTGCTTGCTGTTAGAGTTTGTAAAGAGAAGACGAAAATAAAGACATGTGTTGCTTGCTGTTAGAGTTTGTAAAGAGAAGACGAAAATAAATACATGTGTTGCTTGCTGTTAGAGTTTGTAAAGAGAAGACGAAAATAAAGACATGTGTTGCCTGCTGTTAGAGTTTGTAAAGAGAAGACGAAAATAAAGAAATGTGTTGCCTGTTGTTAGAGTTTGTAAAGGAAGACGAAAATAAAGACATGTGTTGCTTGCTGTTAGAGTTTGTAAAGAGAACACGAAAATAAAGACATGTGTTGCTTGCTGTTAGAGTTTGTAAAGGAAGACGAAAATAAAGACATGTGTTGCTTGCTTTTATAGTTTGTAAAGAGAAGACGAAAATAAAGACATGTGTTGCTTGCTGTTAGAGTTTGTAAAGAGAACACGAAAATAAAGACATGTGTTGCCTGTTGTTAGAGTTTGTAAAGGAAGACGAAAATAAAGACATGTGTTGCTTGCTTTTATAGTTTGTAAAGAGAACACGAAAATAAAGACATGTGTTGCTTGCTGTTAGAGTTTGTAAAGAGAAGACGAAAATAAAGACATGTGTTGCCTGCTGTTAGAGTTTGTAAAGAGAAGACGAAAAAAAGACATGTGTTGCTTGCTGTTAGAGTTTGTAAAGAGAAGACGAATATAAAGACATGTGTTGCTTGCTTTTATAGTTTGTAAAGAGAAGACGAAAATAATACATGTGTTGCTTGCTGTTAGAGTTTGTAAAGAGAAGACAAAAACAAAGACATGTGTTGCCTGTTGTTAGAGTTTGTAAAGAGAAGACGAAAATAAAGACATGTGTTGCCTGCTGTTAGAGTTTGTAAAGGAAGACGAAAACAAAGACATGTGTTGCTTGCTGTTAGAGTTTGTAAAGAGAAGACGAAAATAAAGAAATGTGTTGCTTGCTGTTAGAGTTTGTAAAGAGAAGACGAAAATAAAGACATGTGTTGCTTGCTGGCTAATGTGTTTGAGCTTTAAGAAAGAAACTGAGCGAGGAGAATGTTAAACCAAACATTTATAGTTTTAGATGACTTTTGAAACAATGTCAATTATAAAAAAATAAGTAGACTTTACCTCGAATTTGTGCGCATGCTTCACCGACGTCAGCTTGTTTCTCTGTGGTTTGAGTTACCATATCTGTACTCATTGATGAATTTTCTGTAGAAAATATAATTGTTTCTAATGAATTAATTAATGATGAATAATTAAATGTTTCCATGCCATTAAATGTATTTTTTTGTCTTTACAATTATTCTTTCATTATTCATAGCCACTTTATCTAGTAATGACCAATTACTATGCTGAAGATATGAGCCGCGCCACGACAAAACCAACATAATGGGTTTGCGACCAGCATGGATCCAGACCAGCCTGCTCATCCACTGATCAGGATCTATGCTGTTCCAGACCCTATAACAAGTAAATAAACCGATAGCGAACAGCATGGATCCTGATCAGACTGCGCGGATACGCAGGCTGGTCTGGATCCATGCTGGTCGCAAACCCATTATGTTGGATTTGTCGTGACGCGGCTCATTTGTTTCAAGACTGTTTCTTCTTTGAAGTTATCAAAATACTTATCTCCACAGCAATTTCAAAGGAAGTATTACCTAAAGTGCTATAGATAGAAATTCGCCACTGTGCACCACAAAGCTCATCCAAATTTCCTGTACATGTGACATTGCATTCACTGTCTGGCCTCTTCTCGTATTCTTTCAATTTGTCACCACAGAAACATTCCTTACCAAACTGAAAATAACAGTATTTGAGTCGCGTTATGACAAAACCAACATAATGCGTTTGCGACCAGCATGGATCCAGACCAGCCTGCGCATCCGCGCAGTCTGATCAGGATCCATGCTGTTCGCTATCAGTTTTGCTACTTGTAATAGGGTTGGTAAGCGAACAGCATGGATCCTGATCAGACCGCGCCGGTGCGCAGGCTGGTCTGGATCCATGCTGGTCGCAAACCCATTATGTTGGTTTTGTCATGACGCGGCTCATTTCGTTCTTTTTTAAAAGTAAAATTCATCTTCTTAACATGCAAAATAAAAGCGCTTGACTTGAAATGGTTTCTTCATTTATTGAGTAAACATTATAAACTTAAACTAAATTAATTCTGTCAAAGAAAAGAAATATGCCAGATTTTTAGTTTAGCAATGATATTTGAGCACGTGTCATCTTGCTAATTTGTATTGAGTATTCAACATTAACATGAATTACAATTTGTACGTGTTCAAGGTAAATTCAAATTCTAGTTTTTTTGTTTTTTTGTTTTTTTGTTTGTTTTTTTTTTTTGTTTGTTTTTTTTTTTTTGTTTTGTTTTTTAGAGCAATGGAAACGTATATTACAGCAGCATTTTACTTTATTTCGTCACACTTTCTTTTGATAGCTTAATTTTGTCTATCAATACTTTTGATAACGTAAATAAAATTTCTGACATTGGTTAGCTGTCAGGCATGTTCAATACTTACTGTGATATTATTGAAATGCGTTCCAGGATAAGAGCAAATATGATTTATTTTATCATAAATGCAAAGATATAAAATACTTGTTTAAATGAGATTAAGAGAGTGTTTTTGTATTAATATTTATATATAACGTTTTAGACAAAACCAACACATATACATGTATTGTTAATATGCAATAGCTGGGTCATTGCCTGCAGTTACCAATACTTATTTCATGTATCATTATTGTCATCAGCTATCTGACTTCTTTATAAAACTGTTGTTACTTTCTTATTCGATATTAGTGAAAACACTATCAATTTTAGTTTTACTTTTGTACATATCAATCAATTTACCTCGGTTCCAGAGTATTTGTATCTAAACACTCTGCACAATTCTTTACAACGGTAACTATTGTTTTCCTCCGAGTCTGGAAACTTAACTTCGAGGATTCTGTCTGGCTTATCAAGAAAGCAGCCAATGTATCCATCATTGTACATCTCTTAAAAACAAATACATGTATCTTAACAAGTTATAAATGAGCCGCGTCACGACAAAACCAACATAGTGCGTTTGCGACCAGCATGGATTCAGACCAGCCTGCGCATCCGCGCAGTCTGATCAGGATCCATGCTGTTCGCTTACCAACCCTATTACAAGTAGAGAAACTGATAGCGAACAGCATGGAACCTGGTCTGAATCCATGCTGGTCGCAAACGCATTATGTTGGTTTTGTCGTGACGCGGCTCATTTTAATATGAATAAGTTTAAGTGAGGCATGTAACAACATATGAAAAAAGTAACAAATCAGCTCATCTATAATTGAAAATATATGTTTACACAAATTTAATTATAATGAAAAATAACAAACATACCAGTAAACCCTGTCATTAACAAGAAGATTAATACACATTTAATAAAACTAAAATTAGACATAAAATCTAAATCAATGATATTAAACAAAATTGTTTAAAATATCTTCTTTTTTATTTTGACTCAACACAACAGTTAATGTATAATTATTGATGATACGCGCGAATGTTTAGGCTTAAAGAGAATATATTATTTGTGTGTTTTAGCTGGACTTTCTATTCATGTCTACTTCTCTTATTTACTAAATCAATCAAGAAAATAATAAGTATTAATATGTATACATAATCTAGCCAAACCAGCTTGCAATCTTTACTTTCATTTCAAGAAGAGACGTAGCAAAATCGTTTATTTCAATGTGTGAAAAGTTGAAAACTACATGTACTAGTATATTAAACTTTGTTTAGCCTTAACATAACGGGAAAAGTGGAGCCGGAAACATAGTTATCAAATATTTATAATTGTTGTATCCTCGAAATAAATGTCTGATAAATACATCGACTTCATTTAAGGAAATATGAGTGCTTTGATTGTTTATATTTTTGTCTTGTATTGTATTGTAATTTAAAATGATGAAACATTTTCGTTTTACCTCTGAATACACCAAGGCAATTGTCCGGGTTATATCGCGACAAAGTAACGCACCACCTACGTTTTCTGCCTGATTTAGAAGGGAATTGACTTTTTCTATTTCTTCTACCACTGTATAAACAAGAGGGCCATGATGGCCCTGAAGTCGCTCACCTGTATATAGGCCGGAGCGGGGCAAGTTTAAACCCCAGGGCTTTTATTTGAATCAACTTGGTAGACACCCATTAGAAGATGTTTCATGCTAAACATCTAAGGTCTAGCTTGTTGGGTTTTTTAAAAAAGATTTTTTAAGTTTTTTCTTTACACATATACTAGTATTTAAAAACAATGACACTCCTGGGGCAGGGCCAGTTTTGACCCCAGGGCTTTTATTTGAACAATCTTTGTAGACACTTACTAGAAGATGTTTCATGCTTAATATCTAAACTCTAGCTATTCGGGTTATTTCCAAGAAGATTTTTAAGTTTTGCTATACACATATAAGGAAAATCAATGTCCCCAGGGGTGGGGCCAATTTTGACCCCAGGGCTCTTAGTTGAACAAACTTGGTAGACATCCATTAGAACATGTTTCATGCTAAATATCTTAGCTCTAGCTCTTTGGGTTCTTTAAAAGAAGATTTTTAAAGTTTTTACTATATACATATAGGGAAAATCAATGACCCCCTAGGGCGGGGCCAATTTTGACCCCAGGGCTTTTATTTGAACAAACTTGGTAGACACTTACTAGAAGATGTTTCATGCCAAATATCTAAGCTGACAGGTGAGCTAAAAAGGTAGCACATGGAGTCCACCATTTTACTGAAACTGAAAGTACCCGGGAAATTCAATAAGTTCGTAGAACTGGATATTTTTCAATACAATACAATTCATTTTTTTTTTACTTTATTTATTTATTTATTTATTTATTTATGGATTGATTTATTTTTAAGCATCGTAAAACTTTGTTATGCCTACGTCACATTACAAGAGGGGACCAGCCGATATATATAGAGCGATCGATGGAACACCGTTGATAATTTCAGATCGGAGAGAAACATTTCAATCATGTCCTGGAAAAAGTGAGCGGTCATTCTCCCTCTGTGGTCCATTAGGTATTCGGACGGTTTCCGAAGGGTACTCGCCCGGTCACCCTTGGCATCTTCTTTCTGGACACCGGTCGCTATTCTAAAGGTAACCGGCAGACTACCGTACGATAAATGTCCAATTGCCTTCCGTTATCTGGCCTGTTTGCAACAATCGTGCGATGACGGTAAGGTATACGTGCGATATCTGGTCGACTATCAGATGGTATTCGTATGGCATGCTATCCCATTTTCCGGCCGTTATTTTCTCCCCCCCCTTCTTTGCTTTCTGTTTTGGATGGTATATTTCTGAAATCAAAGTTTTCCATAAAAGATTGTAAATGAAACTTGAAAACTTTAAAAACCTCTGACATGTGTGAAAACTGAGAGAATATGTGTGTGTAATTGAGTTTCTTAATACTCGCCATCGGTTGCCCGTATAGGCGTGTCCTCCAGAAGAGTATTAGTCGTTTTAGATTTTGGGATACAGCGCAAGATACAGTTAGCAAGATGCCACAATTTCAGATAATTATGATAAATATATCAATAAGGAAGGCGGCGTTCAATGAACGCAACCACGGCACTATCCAGCAACACAGGATGACCACCGTCAAGGCGCCAAGCAGTACACCAAACAATCTTCTTCTTCTTTACCTATCCAAGTGTTTAAGCACTCATACACGGGACTTTGCTTTAAAGTCTCGTCCGAAAGATTCCTAGTAATTTCAGTTGGTCATCCCGGGAATCGAACCCACAATGTCCAGATTACAAGTCTAGCGATTTAACCGATTCAGCTCTGCACGCTGGCTAATGAGAGAATGATGGTGGTATTTATGATTTACCCTGATGACTATGGCAGTAAGCCAACTTGAATATACATACCAGAGCACAGTTCAGCCACTGCATCGTTCCTGGACAGTCTGTCAAGCAGTTAAACAGTAATAATTTCTTTCACTTTCGCAAGGTACTGATAACTTACGTACAACGAAAGTGACCTTTACCGTTGTCCAAGAACTGAACACGGGTCGCCTAATTCACAGTCCAAGGCTTTACCTGCCGTAAGGTCTGTTTAATAACCCTAACGCTATCCTTACGGACACCTTAGGACCATACTGCGTACTGCGTCCATCCAAGCCCTGGTCAGTAACCTGTCGAGACGCCTTCGGAAACTGGAGGAATATTTGGCGCCCAGCAGGTAAAAATTTTAACCGGTATGTTACCGATAACAAAAGGTGTCCGGCCGAGTATCGGGGGGTATTTTACCGTGTCTGCTACGGTAAGCTCGCGATTGACCTGATGCCGGAAGAAAATAACTCTGCACTAAAATTCTCCGATTACCTGTATGGTGCCCCACCGGTCACATGACACCGGAGGGTCACCGGCCGGAGACCTTTAAAAACTTGCAATTTCAGCCCATTCAGACATCGGTACCCTATCGTATATCTAATCGGAGTGTAATGTGACGCAGGATTTAGTTGAATAATAGCAGCCGTTCAGTCAACATGTACATTTATTTGCTCTTACTTTTGTTTGAAAACCTACCACCAAAGGCAAAAATGGAAACGGTCAGAATGTTTAGTTCAGAGCAGTCATAAAGTTCCTTGCTCAGGCGGACTAAACGCCAAACCATCGTCGCATGGATGATGTGTATGGTGATAGCAGCCCAAAGTATTCCACAGTGGCAAAGTGGTCGGCATAATTTGTGGGCGAGACTCCTCAGGTCAGTTCGCCCTGCTGATGTCACCAGCCAAGAGATGATCGACCGTGATGAGAGACTTGTGATGAATGAATAATCAAGCTAAATTCATTACTTTGATCTTCAGAGTAAAGACGTTAATTGGTGACTGAATGACATAATTAAGTTGGTCTACTTAATGGTTTTGTCCAAAGCATCGTTGTGTACATGTACAACTATGAAGGCCATTCATTTATAAATAAAAAATTATAGGCAGTTATAGCAAAAATCGAGAAAAAAATCAAACATTTGAAGGTCATTTATGAGTCAGGGTCAAGTTCAATTTAGTCTACTTGACTGTCTTGTTCAAAGAGTTGTTGTCTCCAAGTATGAAGGCAGTCTATTCAGAAATAATTAAAAAATATAATGGCGAACGTTAAAATTTCTGGACAGCAACGGTAACCGGAACGACAGCCATACTGTAACAATAGCTCGAAAACTTTCTTCGGAAGAGTCGAGCTAAACTCGGCGACTGTTATATATTTAGGAAACATTTTCACTTATTTTCGAGCGCATTTAACTCACTTCTTCTTCTGGTCAGATGTTAGCAAATGTGGTAGCACTTATCCGCCTAACTTTCAACAGGGTCTTTCAAATAGAAAGACCCTGCTTTCAAGTGATTCTTCAGAATCCTTTGAGTTTGAGTTGACTCATTTGATATCCCTGCGATATGGGCTATCTGGGTATGTAAAGTCATCTCTGCCATTGATAGGCTTGACTTTATGAATGTTTTTATCAGTACCAGACTTACAGGCATCTTTAAATGACTCGTACCCATTTATTGCATTATCCCTGAAAGAGCTGCATATATAATAAGATGCTTCATTGTTGTCATAAATATTACAAATATCTTTCCAATATTTATACAGATCTTCCTAGTTGTGCTCGAGCACAGTAAGCCCGTATTTCAACACTTTTGAAGCAGCATGCCTTCAGATTCATATGTTAATTGTTATGATAATTTTGAAAATGTATTTAAAAGTATAATTTTATGAAGTGAACAAAGAAAATTATTTACAATTGCAAACGACACATGCAATTCACGTAAACTACCAGAAACGCGTCAAAATTTAATATGCAAAAAATAGCATTATTGCGTTAGTCACGCAGTAGAAATATGGGGATAAATACATGTACTGCATTAATTACATGTATCAGTCAGTAATTGCGAATATTTGAGTCTTTTTGCTTTTCTTGAAATATTGGTCCTTTTATCAAATTTGATTTTCCAGTCCAGCATTTTTGCTCATTTCGCATGCAACCTTAATTGAGCGTTTACCAGCCATATTTTACACTAGGCAGTACATATATGTAGGCCGGTCTACGATATAGAGAATAATAGGTTGGTGCCGTGGATGGAGAAAGTTTATCTGGCGAGGCGGAGGAATTTATTGGGTGAGCCGAAGGCGAACCCAATAAAATCCGGAGCAGAGCCAGATAAACTTTCTCCATCCACGGCACCAATCTATTATTCTTTTTATCCTGTCACCGTTTTTTTTAAAGAAATTTATTTGGCAAACTACCTTTAATCACACTATCTTAAATGTTTCTATATAAACAAAGAAGGCCCTAATTATTCTACAACAATGCACTCGCCGTTCTTATTATCTCCCTGTGTATTTTCACATTGAGAGCGCCATTTTGTTTGAAAAATGTGATAAATAAAAACAATTTTTTGTCGAATTTTGTTGTGAAAACTATCTAGAATGAAAGAAAATGGTCTAACTAAGAAAATGAATTCGAACACCAATATCTTTTATTCAGTCGTTAACGCTGTACAGACGTTTAAAG